TGGGGGACTGGGGGAGATGGGAACATATCCTGGAGTCTACCCTGATGACCAAGGAGTCCAGGACATGGCATGGGAGGGTGGTGTTCCTGGACCACTGTGCTGGCTCCACAAGGGACACAGGCCTTAAAAGCTCCAAGGCTGGGGGCCCCTGGGGAAACAAAGGCCAGACCAGACTGTCCCAGGGCAGGGACACTTCCTCAGGAAGGAAGGAAGTGAGCACAGCCCAGTAGGAGGGAGTGGGGAAGCACAGCCATGACCCCCATTGTTTCCAGCTTTGGGGTCAGCTAGGGCAGGCCCAGCACAGGGAGTTCCCCCACACTGGGACAGTGGTGATGGGCTGCCACCCAGCATGGCAGAACCCTGGCCTTGGGGCAGTCAGTGGGAGGGACAGTGGAGGACGACGATAGGGCCTTATGCCTGGCATCTTACTGGGGAAACGGGAAGGTGCCCAAAGAAAAACTACAAGTCCAGGCTGCAGAGGGTGATCCTGCTTCACACTTGACAAGTTTAAACCTCCAAAAGACAGGTAGGCCAACTTCCCAGACCCAGCAGCCTGTGTCCTTGAACTCCCTCCTCCCTTACTGGGAGATGGGCTGATGGCCAAGGGCTAGGCCTAGTAGAGAACCAGCCTCATAGCAGGACCTGAGAAGTGTAGGCCAAATGTCCACAGGGAGCAGACTGCAGGTGAGAAGACAGGGCAGAAAGGACCAGAGGAAGTATTGGGTAGCTGAGCTTTACCTGCTGGAACAGAAGCCCCAAGCCTACTCTCCTGGTAGTGCAAGTAGGTTTGGGCTGCAGAGCCTCGCAGTAGGTCAAGGGCAGTGGTACCCACTTGGCTGCTGTCCACCTAAGGCTGGGCCTTGGAGGTCCATGGGGCTCAGGCTGTGACCTCATGTGGCGTCAGCTGGCACAGCTGGGGGCAGGACAACTGTTCCAGACCTGTGTGTGGTCACACTCTCACCTCAGGTCAGGCAGATGGGGCCAATCCCTACTGAGGTACTCCAGGGCCTTCCAATTCCAGGGGTCCCCGCTTATTGAACACAATACACAAGTATGAATGGCTCTCCATCCTGAGGGGGTCTGCAATGAGGTCTGTGTGAATACACTGCCACCTGCTGATTGTAGCTGGAATGGCCGCAGGCTAGGCTCATGCTCACTCTGGGCCTCGCTGGAGATGTGGGCGACAAGAGTCCCCCACCCAGGCCCACCTACTATGCCCAGGTGGTGGTCTAGATACTGGGTATCAAGCCTCAGAGATGTCATTCTTGTATGCAGGGTCTACAAATAATTTTATTGAACAAATAACACAACAGCCTTCCTAGATTGAGGGCTACCCTCCCCAAGCCATTTCTCACACGCTTGAAGAACAGAGTTTGCACAGTAAGGAATTAAAAAAAAAAAAAGTCATTTTTATGTAGAAATCAGACTCTGCCCCAACATCATGGACTAGACTATTTACAAGCTTTCACATTTTAAGTATTCCTTTATGATTGTTCTCTCCTTTCTGTCCCTACCCAGGGCTCCAGTACTTTTCTCTTACTGATCCTGAAGGGATGGGTATACTGTAGGGGAATGGGTGGTGGGCTCCTCAGAGCTACTGGCACCAGCCACAGGGTGCTGTTCCTTATCACAGGGGGGTGGATGTGTAAGGGCAAGGGCGATTAGACACAGTAGGTGGGATGTGGCAACACCCCATAGGCACAGGCATCCAGAGCCCTTCCTGATCCCCATCCTATGCCCTCTCAGTTGGGGTAGGGGTCAACAACTAGTTGCAGTGGGGAGGGATCAGCCCAGCCCGGGGTAGAGGGAGAAACCTCCCACACCTATTAACAGCCAGCAAACTGTCCATCCATCTGGGGGTGGGAACAGATGGGCAGGTAGGCAGGAAGAATCAGGCTTGTTCTGCCCCCAGCTTCTGTCCAACACAGGAGGAATCGAGGTAGCAAACGGCTGAAATGCTCCAACGAGAGGGTGAAGGAAGTGAGGGAAAGGAAGTTCCCACTTGTGTACAGCTCCCACAGCCCTGGGGCTGGAAAAAGGCAGACCTTACTTGTAAAGTGCTGTAGCCTCCAGCAGGGCTGGGCCCTAGGCAAGCTTGGAAGAATGCAGGCCAGGCAAGGGCACAGGAACCAGGCATTCCTGAACAGCATATGCCCTGCCATGCTCCTTGTAGGGATTGCTGGGAAAGGTGGACTGGTAACTCCGCCATCAGCCCTTGCCAGCCACCAGCCACCTCTTGTCCACATACAAACCAACACCCAACCAGCATTGTAGGACTGCCCTGCTCACAGTTGAAGGTTCCGGGCCAGTGGAGTTTATTCACGGTTGTGGCCCCAGCCTAGGTTCCTCAGTGGAAGCCACACCTTGAGCCTGGGGGTTTCTTGCTGGGGCAGGGGGTGTTTATGCCTGCCACCCCCCAGGCTCACACCTCATAGAGGATCACAGGGAAATCCACGTGGATGCGGGGGGGATCCAGCTTCACGATGCCCTGCCATGGAAACAGAGGCTAGTGAGGGCCAGCTCAGGGCCCCTACTCCAGGAAGCCTTCCTGTTCCTCCCAGCTCCTCCCCCAAGAGCCCCCACCATAAGAGCAGACCCCATCTGGGTCTACCTCCACACAATCAACATAGGCTCTATGACCACTGCCCAGCCCCTCACCTGAGGAATCAGGTTCTTATGTACCCGCCTCAGCTTGGCCCGCTTCTGCCCGTTCTTGGTGACGATTGTCTCCTCATAGAACTCGTGAGCCAGATCCCCATCCTCGTCATAGAACATGGAGCTGTGCAGAGGGAGAGGGGAACGGGCTGGGCTGGAGCCCCAACCTAGTCATGGCAAATGCCACAGACCACAGGGAAGTATGCCCTCCCCCAAATGGGGAGGAACAACCTTGGTGGGAGGAAGGGAGGTTAGTATGCCTGGAGAATCCCTTGCTTAGTATCTGGGGTATACCAAAAGGAAGTGGGGAGTGGGGTGGTGGCCAGTGCTACTCTGTCAGATTATGAGAAGAGAGGCCATACCAAAAAATCACTGGTTTGTTCAGAAAAAGTAGCCGTTCCATCAGGCCCTTGCCTTCACCCAGGGCTTCTAGAGTGGGCAGGATGGTGGCCTGGGCATGTTGGTCTCACTCCAGAAGACACTGCTGGCCCAGGGCCAAAGCCTGAGATAGCAGATGCCTGAGCTAGGAGGGAGCCTAAAGGGAAAAAGCCTGCATCCTCCCCCATCCAGGTGGTTGATGCAGCCAAACTGCCACTGTTGGGGTCCCCCTAGTATCTACAGCCAAATCTCCAGCATCACCTGAGTGTCACTCCCCAGGGCCCATCACAGCGAGGCCAATCGAATGCTCCTGTCTGGGCCGCTTGGGGGAGGGGGGAGGTCAGTGCTCCAGATCTGGGAAACATACCTGGGTGAGGGTCTTTTTCCCCAGGCCCCATCCCCAACGCTGGGGGCCAGTCCTGCTTTCCCGGCCACTACCCAGAGAGGTCCAACCCCACCACTGTGGGGAACGTAAACAGACAAAACAGAGGGTCATTCTCCCCGAGAGAGAACTGGAGGTGAGGGAGGATAGGAGCCTTCAGCTTGCAGGCTGGGATGGATGGGATGAAAGGAAGAGGTTCTGAAGTCTCAGGGAGGCCCTATCTTAGCTTCACCGTGAGGAGGGCCTGCCCAGGGACAAGCCTCAGGCCCACTCTTCTCCTCGGGAGACCTTCAGAGCAGCCAGGCCGCCAGGAACCGACTGCTCGGCTTTCCCCACCCCTTGTTCCTCTGGGAGCCTGAAATATGGGAACCGTCCTGACTCGGGTGTAGGGGGTACAGCGGCGGGAGCGCCCCATGACGCGGGGCACCCAGCCGCCCGTCTGTCCTCCCGGGGGCGGAACCCCACGCCCTTACCCGCGGCGCGTGAATACGAAGGGGGGCACGACTCGGCCTCGCGGTCGCACCAAAGCTTGCTCAGCGACAGCCGCCTCCGGGCCGCCGCCCCCCGCCGCCGAGGCGAAGGGCCACAGGCCCCGAGCTTTGGAGCCGCTGGCGCCCATGTCAGGGCCGCCGGCGCATGGCGGGCCCCGCGGCAGCTTCGCTCTCACAGGACCGTCCGCGCCGCCATGCCCCGCCTAGGCCTCCGCTCGCAGGTGCCGCCGCCGCCGCCTTCCGCAGGCTCCGCTGTCTCCACGGAAACCTCACTTCCGCTTCCGAACACTGCGTATGCTCCTGCCTCTGATTGGCTGCTTCTCTCGTCGGTCCGCGGGGCTGGGCTAATAGCTGCCCTCAGATGCTAGGTATCCCAGCATGCACTGCGAGACGTCAGGTCCCAGCAGGCCACGCCCTCTCCAGCTGGAGCAGCTCACAGTCTGGAAAGCGGTGGCTGTGTCCTCCACCTGGTTTCTTCGGCTTGTACTGCGGCTCCGAAGTCCCCGACCCCCAGAGGTCAGGCTCAGCGAGCCTACCCAACCAAAGCAGCACTTTAGGGCCTGACCCTAGGCCAGTTTGGGCAGTGCCCGTCTGCCCTCATTCTATCCCCACACCGTTTTTACGATCCCCACTGTGGCACATGGCAAAGAAACTGAACCTAAGGAAAATTAAGGAATTGGCTTAATGTAGTTGTATATCTACATTCAGGGCTGAAGAACTTCAAATTCAGAATTCTTTCCAGATCCACCAGAAGCCATGCTTCATGAAGGCAAGAGTTAACATATCTGTACCTTCGGTGCCATGAGCAGTGTCTGATCCACAGTAGTTATCTCAATATTTGGTGAAGCGCCTTCCACAGCTTGGAGTGTGTGGTTTCCCTAAGCTCTGGCTGCAGCCGATGTTCTTTCCCCCACCACGACCTGAGCCCCGGGGTTTGAGTGATGACTCAGTACATATCCATACACCACATCCTTCACAAATTTGTCCCATGGTCCCACTTGAAAAGGTGCTCTGAGCCTGTCCATCAACCTCGGCAGCCACTGGCATGAGGGGCAACTGCAGATGAGGGCCCATAATAAAGAATCCAAAAGCAGGAGAATTCTTAAATCTTTATTTAGCCAATTCTCTCAGACCCCAGGCCCTGATGACTGTCACCCCCACCCCTTCCCCCACAGGAGGCATTCAACTGAGGCCACAAAATATTACATACATTCGCACACATCATCAAAAATACCCAAGGGAAAGACCCTGGCTTTGACTGGCAAACAAGGCACAGACCTGGGACAGTGCCCACACTCACACAGACCCTGGCACAGGGACATCCTCCTTGGAGGAGGCAGAGGCACTGTTGTTGCACCATGAGCCAGCACTCCCTGACCCCAGGGTGTGTGAGGAGCCAGAGGGTGCTGTAGAGGGAACCCTAGACTCTTTCTTGATGCCTGTCTTACCTTAAACACCCACCCTCGGTTCTGATAGGACTGTCCTGAGACCCCATCCAAGACCCGAAACACACAACCTTTCACCATAGGTGAGGGCCCTCATCCCTGCAAACATGACCCTATTCTGTTTGTAGGGTCTCCAAGATTCTCATATCTGAGACACAAATTAAGGAGACTTCTGTCTCCTCTACCCCTGCTGCAAGCTTGGAGCAGCTTCCCAGGGCAACCCTGGCCCACCATGACCCAGTACACAAAGGGCAGAAGGATGTAGAGCCATGCTCTGCTACACCCACTGGTGGACACAGGGGGCCAGCTCCTTCGCTGTTCTCTGGGCTCATTCCCCCAGCAAGAGAGGGCCTCCATGCACACTCATTCCTCGGGCCACATGGCCCTTTGCACACTCACACGGCACGCCCTTGGCGCTGCCTACTCTCCTCCTTCCACCCAGGGGTACGAGAGGTCACCCCAGGGGGCAGGCATGCAGGGCTTCCTGGATCTTCTGGCGGCAATACGAGTACTTCTGCAGGATCTGGCGGAGATGTTCCTCTTCCTCCCGCTGCAGGATGCGTAGGAAGTTGTGTAGCTCAGGCATGCTGAAAGCATCCCACTGTAGGGGGAGAAGGGAGACACAGGCTACAGCAGGCCACTGCCAAACCAGCAGACTCTCCCCAAAGAACACCAGTGCATCCCGATCACACAACTAGGATGGGGCTTTCTAATGTCAGGTTCTTGCCTGAATGGTCTGTGTTAGGATTCCCAACAACAATCCATATAGAAGATGGGCCCCACAAAGTAGGGCAGTCACCTCGTGGACAGGCAACCAAACCAAACATTCCCTAGTTACTTTTGAACAGGTCATGCCCACTCTCTCTGAGTTTGATCTCACTCTGCAGATGCACTACCTTGGAGCTGTACAGCTTCCAGGTAAAAGGTTCTAATGCCTGAAGCGGGTGCCTGCATGTTGTCCCGTGCCCATCTGTGTGGCTTTGACCTGGTCTGAGATCAGAATGCCATCAGATGGACTCCTGCATCTCCTGAGGACTTTCCACAATAGGAAAGAGCAGTGCGCCAAGACAGTTCTTCCTGGCTTCTTGGGACAAGCCCTAGACCTTGGCATGAGTTTCCTGGAAGCCTTCACTTTAGCTATAAGGCTCATGTATTCCTGGAGAGGCTTTGCAGGGCTTGTCTGCAGCCCTATTCCTCTTTCAAGCCTGCAACCCACCAGTCCTGCCCAGTCACAACCAAGAAACTAAGGAGGGCTGTTACTCACGTTCACCTCCCCAGAGTCATTCTCCTTCAGGACAAAGCTTAGGGCCTTCTCACTGGGCCCTGCAAGGAGCCGTAGCCGTAGGGGCTGCTCATCATCTGACAGCTTCCGGAGGTACACTGAGAGCCAGGCAGGGGGAAGGGAGTGTTTGATTAGAGGCAGACCCAGCCCCCTCAGCTCCTACGTGCACAGGCACATGCATATATACCCTCACACATGGTGGGGTGGGGTGGGAAGCCCACCTTGGCCATGGCGCTCAGCCCGCTCAAAAAGTGCAAACTTGCGGGGGTCATCCACCACCAAGAACTTGCGCAGCAGGGCCTCGATGACCTCGCGTGCCCGTGTGCGTGACAAGACATGCAGGTGCTTGACAGCATCCTTGGGCAGGTAGAAGGAGGTGCGGCGTTTCACAGCTGTACCCCGCCCTGGGCCCCGCCGGGCATCCTGCAAGGAGGGTGGCTTCTTGCTGGCGGGAACTGAGACAGGGCGCACCAGCTTCAGTTGAACCTTGATGAAGCCTGTGTAGGAGCCATCCTTGTTCTAAAGAGGAGAAACCAAACCATGACTAGATGCCAGATGAGATGGAACAGACTTGGGCACTACCAGTCCACTTGGGGCTAGGCTGGGTGTGAATAAATCACTGCTAGGGTCTACCCAAGAATACCTCAGCTGTGACCCTTTGGGCATCAGGCAAACAGTTGGGTTCCTGTCTCTCTCCAAAACAGGCTGTCAACTCACCAGGCTCATGAACAAGTTGCTGTTGATCTGGCCATTGTACTCCTTGATCTTCTGCTCAATCTCAGCCTGAGAAAGGTCAGGTGTCTCCCACTCCACGGGCTCATCCTGAAAGATGGGCAAGCATGGACATAGGATCCTTATGAAACCCATTCCTCTGCAATGCATGTCACGGGCAAGGAGGTAAGCCCTGGGTGGACCACTCTGAAAAATGGCCTGTGGGAAGCCTTTGGAAACTGACAACAAAGTTTGAGGCCTGATGAGAAGAACCCATCACTGCCCTTGGTTCTGCATGCTATGGATGGAGACAGCTAAGGCAGAATCATTTGGCTTCTCTGCCACCTGCCTGGAGCCTCCTCAGCACTGGGTGAGGCCCTAAGGATACCTTAAAACCAAGGCAACGAAAAACACAAGGCTAGGAGCCAGGAAAAGATTGGGGACTCTGAAAAGGAACAGCTTGATCCCAGCACCCTAGTTGGATGGGGTCAGGGTGTACCCTGGAGAAGACAGTCCACTTTGCCAGTCTGCCCTGGCCATGGCCCACTGCAGGGTGAGAGGTATGGGGAATGGTACACACCAGGAGCCCAGCCACCAGTGGGCAGGAGGAGAAGGGCAACATCTACAACCTTAACCTCCTTGGTGGGGGACTTGGGCCAGCCCTGCATGTCTCAGACATAGTGAGGAATCCACTATGACATGCCATTTGATCTTGACCCAATCTGCACAAAAGGCAGCTTCAGGCCAGGCTCCAATCTGCCAGAAGTTGGCATGGGCAGCCTCCTGGTAAAGCCTGTCCCACAACTGCCAAACAGGGAGGCTTATGTACCTCCTCTCTGCTGTCTAGAGGTTTAGCCCAAAGGTGTTAGCTTTACCACTCAGCCCTTCCTCTGTTCCTCCAGGGACTGGATTCTTGTCTGAAGGGTGGAGTATGGGCCAGGGCTTCTGCCAAACTCCCTTGGTCCCATTGCATCACCCTTACCTCCTGTTGACGTCAGATAGGCCCTAGTAGGAATGAGAGTGTCACAGACACAGCTGAGATCATCACTGACCAATGCCTTGTCCCAGGGGAGCTCCCATCAGAGGGTCTCCTGCAGAATAAGCTTAACCTTGTGCTCAGCTCTGAGCCCAGGACAGCCAGGCTTCTTCCTGACTACTGCCTTGGAGCGCCCTAAGCTTAAACCGTCTCAAGGGGACAACAGGAAGGACAGATGAGGGGGTAGGGTAGAGTCCACAGCCTTTTAGCAGTATGCTCTTTATCTAGAACCTGCTGCTGTTCAGTGGCCAGCAAGTACATGGCACTGAGGACTGAGACTGGGGGAGGGGTGGGAACTGCACCCTATTTGCTTCCCCAAGTTTCCAAAAGTCTCCTAGATGGAAAAGAGCATTGAGAAGTGAAAACTCTAGGGACTTCCCTGGTGGTCCAGTGGTTAAGACCCCACGTTCCCAATGCAGGGGGCTCAAGTTCCATCCCTGGTCAGGGAACTAGATCCTGCATGCTGCAACTAAAAGATCCTGCATGCTGCAACGGAGATCCTGCGTGCCACAACTAAGACCTGGAGCAACCAAATAAATAAACAAGTAAATATTGAAAACAAAAGAAAACAAAAAAACTCTAGCAGAAACCTTGTTGGAGACAGTGGGAAACCCTGTAGGACTAGTAAGAACAAATGGTCTGCACCCTGGAAAACAAGGGATCTGGGAGGTAAAATAAGGGCTGGAGGTTGGGAATAAAGGGTGGATGTGTTTGTTCAGGCCCAAGGAGAGGGCCTGAGACAGGAAGAAGTACCCCAGTGGGAAGGAGTGTCAGGATGGAAGGGGTGCTAGGGGCAGGAGGAAAGCTGAGCAGACTAGTGCCAGGGCAAAAAGGAAGAGAATTCTACTTACACAACAGGGTGATCAAAGAGATGGCACTAACTCATTCCCCTTCCTTGTGATGGCTCTGAGCTCTAGCCTGGGTCCTTCCTCTTCCCTTCCTGGGTTATCCAGGAGCCCTGAGCTGGGATGCAGTGACCTCAGTTCCAGCCCCTTCCCTTCTCCAGGTGAACCTCCCTCAGTATCTTTATTCACAAAACAAGGGACTTGGACTGGAGGTACTGCACTGTCCTCCCAGGATTCTAGAGGAGGAAGAGTATCTTTTTCCATTTTCCGAAGCTGACTGCTAGAGGAGGATTCCAACAGCTGTCCCAGAGGGATACCATGGAATTTCCCTTCTGCGACACTATAGCCACCCACCTTCTACTCTGCCACTGTCCATAGTGACTGATGGTTTTATTTTACATACAACTTGGGACGCCCCAGCCTCCTTTTCAATTGGTTAGTGTCTTGTGGTTTTCTCACCTTTCCACAATGGAAGATGGCTCAGGCCTGAGTGACACACGGACAGTCCCAGGGATCCACACTCAAACCTTGTACCCAAACTCTGGGCTCAGCTTTCCAGGTATAGAATTTTCCCCTAAAGAGTTATCCACAACTCCCTTTTCTTGACTCATGTAAGGAGTTCTGCCCCACTGCTGCCAGGTATACTGAACTTTACTTCATGGTCCCCATCTCTCTTTCCCGATGCCCTGACCAGGGTGCTCTTCTGAGGTGTACCATCTCCGGAACAGTGATCTGAGCCTGGCGGCCACACTCATGGCACACATCACAGAGGTCTCTGATGATGGGGACACCTGGGAGACTCCGAGAGGCACAGCTGCTCCAGCACTGCAATTTATAGTCCTGGATTAGTAACCCCTATCTCTCTTGACCCCTCTCAGGGCATTTTACAATCTAGCCTTCCCCACCTCTTGTGGATAAAGTGCTCCTGGATGCTTACAGTCCAGAACAAGGCTTCCTTCCCATCCATTCCCAGATCCCCTTTCTCCAGGTCCGCTCTAACTTTACTATATATGCTGCCCAAGCGAGCACTCCTGGTCCACTGCAGAGGAGGGGAGGCTCAGAATCTTCCACAGTCCGTAGCTGGTGACAGGCCAGGACCGGCAAGAGATGGGGACCACGCTGCCTCCATCCAGGAGTGCAAACGGAGGGGCCTGGACCTTCCCTTGCCTCTCTCCTAAACACCCTTCTCAATTCCCGGCGAGGACTCCTCCCCCTCCACTTCCTCCTGGTCCCCCAGAGAGGGGGTGGGAGCGCCCGCACGCGGAAATAGAGGTGTTAGTCTAGACTGCGCAGTCAGCCTTAGTAATCGGTGGATAATGCCTGTCCCTGGTCTACCCCATGCCACTTAGCTGCTTCCCCTGGTTCAACCGGTCTGTGACAGAAACAGCAAGGCCTCAGCTCTCAGTACCGACGCGCTGAAAGCCCAACACACGGTTCCGAGTGCTGGCCCACGCTCACGGCAGGCAACTCGACCCAAGGGCTGCCCACAAGTTCTCGACCAGGCAACTTACTGGGGAGGAGCGGGGTCCCAGCGACCGCCCCCAGCCCGCTTCCCGCAACCCCCGGCCCCCACCTGATCCCGGCGCGGCCTGCGCGCCAGTGAGGTACGCGCTGTGAAGTACTGCTCGAGCTCTGAGTCCGAGTCCTCCTGGCTGCAGTAACCACTGCTTGTCGTGCTACTCCAGGTCATCTCGAAAGAGGGAGTCCCCGCGTCCGCCTCGCCCATCGCCGCGCCCGCCGGTTCCAGTGCGCCCGTAGCCTCCCACCACCGCCCCAGGCGCGTGTGCGCGTGCGCCGGAACCAGTGTCCGCGCCGCAACCGTTAACACTGAAACGTAGACAGCGCGGATCTAGCTCTCATCTCGTTGGAGGACGAATGTCGAAGGGCGGGGCCACACGCGCCTCGCCTCCAGGAATGATCTCATCGCTCTGGCAGCTCAGCTCAGCTCCGCCTCGCAGGCCCCACCTCCCACAGGAAACTAGTTGGAATGTGTGCGCATGTGCATCAGCGTGGCCTCAAGACCGGATGCGGCTGTGGGAAAGTGCGGAAATTGTGCTAGCTCGGAGCCTCGGTGGCTCCGGGCGGTAAGGGCCGAGTCAGCACCACCGGCACCCCTTCGAGCCCGCGCGCAGAATTAGCTACTCTCTGCCGCCAGGAAGTCGGCTATCAGAACGTTCATTGCGCGTAGCGCCAGGCGGCCCTAGGGAACGCCTGCAGCGTGGCCCGCTCGTCAGCGCATACCTGCCTTGCCTGTAAGCTCCCCGGTCCCACGCTCACCACATTCGTGTCCCGCTCCAGCGCCGGTTCCCAGCCCAGGTCCCGGGGTCCGCAGCAGTCTAGGCAGACGAGCGCGCGGCAACGGTAGTGGCAGGTGAACTTGCAATCTGCAGAGAGGGCTGGCCGTGAGGCGGAGGAACCCCAGCACCAGCTCGGAGAAGCGTCCCGAGGGCAGAAGCGAAGCCCCGGGGTGAAGGCCGTTGCTCGCGGTGTTCTGCATGATCGGCCTTTTTTCAGGCCCCGTTACCGCCCACTGCTACGCAGATCTTAGAGTTGGTCCCCCGGCGTCTTGAAACTGGCGGGAAGGCCTCAGGCGGTTAGGGATCCAGGCCTGCTCAACAGTTGCATTTCTAGAGCCTAGGGCAGAACTTCCCCCTTCCTCATCAGCGTCCCTCCCTCCGCCCATTTACTTGAAGGGAAAAAATTAAATACTTTTAACCCAGTGGCCCCCCTCTAGTTGTCATTTGTTTCTACTCCCCTCACACCAAAAACTTACCAACACTGGTCTACAAACACTCTTAATTCCTCGCCTTCACCCTCTACCCATTCCGGTCAGGCTTGCCCCTCCCTCCAGGAAACTCCTGCGCACCGCCGAATCCGGCGGTCCCGTCTCCGTCTTCACCTCCTCAGCATCGTCTGATGCTTGCTCCCGGGGGCCCCCATTACCCCGGTTTTCCTCCCACCCCCCTGCAGCTCCTGCTCAGCTCCTTTAGTTCTGTTTCAACTTCTAGATCTAATGGTGGAGTGTCTGAGGCTCAGTTCTGATCGCTTCCCTTCTCTGTGTACGCTGACCTACCCCAGATCCAAGGCTTCCATCACTGACCTCCCCACTGAGATCAAATCCTATGTGTCACTATCTTCATTTGGATGTCTAATAAACATTTCAACCCAACATGCCCAGAATTTAACTCACTTTCCTACCCCTTTTAATTCTTCACTTTTCCTCACTCTTACCCTTGCCAGTGTTCCTCAGCTCACCAAAAGTCGCTACCATTCTCCCAGTTGAGGCAAAACAAAACCAAACCACCTCAACTCATCCTTGATTCCGCTCTTGTTTCTGCCTCTGACACACACCCAAATTGTCCTGTTTTTCATTTCCATGGCCACTTTATTTCTCCTTGGGAACACTGCTGTATCCGAGCCCTTGTTCATGCTTTGTGTTCTGTCACAACTCCCAGCTCCTCCCAGCTGAATAAAGGACAAACTCCTGTACTAGATGAGAGGGTCTCCAGGCACACACAGGCTTGGGACACCTTCCTTAAGTTCCTAAATGGGCCAGAGCAGTGATTCTCAACCCAGGCTGCACATTAGAAGGATTTGTTTTTAAAAATTGCTGGTACACTCCCAGTGATTGAATTAGCAGGTCTGTGGTAGGGTCCAAGCATTGGAGGGCTGTAAAAGCATTCCAAGTGATTCTAGCTGGTATATAGCCAGTGGTAGAGCAACCTCTGCTTGCTGGTGATTCCTGGGAAGGCAGAAGCACCAGCTAGTGTGTGGCTGTGTTTCATGTTTTAGCACCTGGTTGACTGAACTTGCAATAGGTATCTGCTAAATACTCAAAACTCCTGCTTGCAGCGGGCCCACCCAAGGTTCTGACTTTTTCCAGGCCTTCTCCCATAGGTGAGTAAATTCCCTTCACGGCAAGGATTCTGCAGCAGGACTTGGCGAGTGAATCTTTGGGAAGGGACGGGTGTGGGAATATGAACTCAGAGACTGGTAGGCACAATGCCTTTCTCAAGAAGGGCCAAGGCACCCTTTAAAATTGAAAGCAGCACCTTGTTATTCACAGGCAACAGCCTCTGCCTATGTCCCAGACACAGGTGGAGCTTGGCAAGGTTATAAACCATCGGCCCGCACTCTCTTATGCTATGGGGTAAAGGTAACGGACCTTGTCCGTGGGAACTGAACCCGCCAACCCCCTGCGTCCCAACGGCCCTCAGCGACGGTGCTGCCCCTTGGCCACCCGTTTGTCTCCCGCCAGCGCACAGGGCCGCTACTCACGTGCGCACTGCAGGCCCTTGCGCACGACGCCCCAGATGAAGTCGCCACAGAGGTCGCACCATGTGTGCGTAGTGGGCCCCGCGGGCTGGAAGCGGTGGCCGCGGCCTGGGACCAGCTGCCTTGCGGCGTTGCGCGCTGTGCCCGGCGCGATGCGCAGCGCGTTGGCACGCTCAAGCCGGGTGCGGCCCGGGGCGGCGCACCGCGCGGGTGCCAGGTCCCGCAGCTCAATGAGCTCAGGCTCAGCGGACATGGCCCTGTCGGGCCAGGAGTCCCGCCGGCTCTGGGCTCAAGCGAGCGCGGGGCGGGCGGGGCAGCGGGGCGGGCCCCGATGCGGTGCCGCCCCCGGGATTCAGGCAGAGCGGCGGGAGAGCGGAGGAGAGAGGCGCAATGGAAACCTGGGCGCCCGGGCTGTGTCGGCCCGCAGGCGGAGTGGGGCGGCGGGCTCAGCGAGGGGCTGCTCTCGCGGAGTCCCCGCCCTCCGTTTCCTATCCTCCCTTCATCTAGCGAGCAATTCCCCTCCCCCTAACAACCACGACGACCTCAAAGGGCCACGCGGAAACAGGCGTGTTTCTGGAAGCTAGCTTTACTGTACTGGAGGAAGAGGGTCCTCACATCCGATCCTTGCCCCCGGCCCAGGCCTCCTGCCCCAGCTTGCTGAGGCTGCACCCTAAGCCTACCCGCCGGATGGAGCAGGAAGTGGCGAGCGCTTTGCTGGGGGAGATGGGTCAGCAGCTCTTCCCGTCTGCTATCCTCACCACCTGGGAGGCTGGGGCGCTTGCAGAGGCCGGACTGAGATCCAGAGGTTCAGGGGCACGGGGTTGTATGGCATGGGTGCTCGGCCCTCAGCAGCTGCAGCCTTCACTTGGCTCTGTCACCCTGGGCTGCCGGGACACAAGCCTTTCCATGCTTCTCCCAGTGCTTGACTTGGCACTCCCTGCAGGCAAATGGGCCGGTGAGGATGCTGTGCTATGAGAGGTATGGCAGTGGGACTCAGGGGTCCAAGGTCCTAGGATACCCTCACCTGCTGCAATACCACTCATTCTGGCATCGTGAGCAGCGCTTGGAGGCCTCTGCATTGCAGTAGGCACAGCGGGGCTGCTCTGGAGCCACTGCCTCTAGCACGTCCAGTCTGTAGGTCTCCGCCCACCTGGGAAAAGGGTCAGGAGGACTTGGCTGGACCTGGTGGGTGGGTGGACGGGAGCAGCCCTACCCACATCCATGTCTTCTGCCTCCCTTCTACCCTTTCTGCCAGCTCAGCAGGCCTCACCTTCGTGCCTGCAGCCTCAGTTCCTGCTCCGAGGGGCTGAATACATGCCGCAGCTGATGCTTGGCAATAGCCTGCCACTTGCCTCTGTTCTCTCGCTCTAGCCGCTCCCAGATTTCTGGGATCTGGGGAAGAGAAGTGGAGAGTGGCAGGGAGGAGCTGGTAAAGTGGGTAGTGGTCCTGAACAACTAACTACCTAGTGCCTACCTGTTCCAACACCAGGTCCTTCTTAGGGGGCTGGGCTTCGGTCAAGGCCAGGTGGGCCAGGAAACCCTGCAGGTCTGCCAGGTTGGGCAGCTGGTCGAGCAGTGTGTCTGTGAGGAAGGCCCGAAGCTGCAAGAGTGTCCAGGGGAGGCCAGTGTGAAGCGGTGCTGGTCAGAGGGTCGAGGAACAAAGAGGGCCTGAGCTGGGCTGAGCTGAGGGTGCCAGTGGGACCCATGTTCTACTAGCTGCTGTGTCACCTGAGGCCCAAGGTGTGGAGAGAGGGCTGGGGCTGAGGTGAGTGGGCAAAAATAAACATCAAGGGAGGCATGGGGCAGTGCTGGGGCGGTGGTGACTGGTGTGGGAGGAGTTCCCTACCTTGAGTAGCTGTCCTTTGGCAAAGCTTGTGAGGCAGTAGCGGGCCCGGGCCTCAGGGCTTAGCAGCAGATTGTACAGGGCGATCCACACCTGCCCATCCAACTTGCTCAGCTTTTGCTGCTCCGAGGGGGACACTGTCTGCCAACGGCCGCTCTCAAATTGCTGCAGCTTGCCTGGGGAGAGGAACCAGCATACTGTGTGCAGGCGTTGCATGCTCTGTGAGTGAGCCAGCTGTGCGGGCTAGGGACTGACCACTGTCTGGGCACAGAATGTGCCCATGCTGGGGCGCTGCTCACTTCAGAGCAGGGTGAGTCCTCAGTGGTAGACACACAGGCCCTGCCTGCTGCAGAGTCCAGGTCTAGGCCCACTTTGGGTGAGGCATCCTGGTATTCTCTGTGGTCAAGGGGGCAAAGTTTTCTGCCTGTGTGCAAGCTGCCCACCCCATCAATCCTGGAGGATGTCCTGGAAGCAGTGAACTGGGGCTTAGGCAGGTGGAGGAGGACCTTACCGCCTTCCTGCCGGCTCCAGGGACTGTGCTCCAGCAGTTCCACCAGGAGACAGGGCAGATTGTGGGTGCTGAGCATGCGGCTCAAGGTGCTCAGGGAAAGGCTAGGGATGTGGATGGAGAGGTGAGCTGAGGCTACAGGCCCAGGCTACCAGCCCTCCACTGCAGGCCCCAGCTTAGCAGGACAGCCCACCTGTCCATACAGTCTGTGATGTAGCGCAGCACTGAGAGGGCCTTTAGTGCGATCTCAAATTCCATCAGCTCTGCCTGCTTCTGCAGCTCCTGGGGTGGGGCACATGGTGTTCAAGCTAGGGGAGCCTGGGTCTAGCCCTTGCCAACCCCCGGAAACCTCAGCCCACCTGCATGGGGGTGCCATACTGGGACTCCTCCTCCTTAGGGGGGCCACCATGGCCACTCTGGGCGACCAACAGAGTCAGTTTGCGGTGGCAGTAGTCCACCAGGTCCAAGATGGTGTCCTCTGCTGACTCACACACCTCCTGAGGGGCAGGTGGAGGGGAAACATTCTGCCTCTGATGCCCTTCCCAAACAGACACAACCCCCCTTGCTGCCAGACCCCGGCCTAGGCTAGCCAATGGGCAGGGCTGGTGCCTCACCTTGTGGAAGAATACTGTCTCCAGGAGGTTGATGATGGAGGCCTCATGGTGTAACTGTCAGATAAAGAGGAGGACAGGGCCCTGGGCTGCTGAGAGAGGGATAGGGGCTACCAGCTACTCTCTCTAGTCCAGGGCCCTCTGAAGGGGTGGGAAGGGGTATGAACCGATGGCTCACCACCATGTAAATGGGAAAAGTGTTTGGGGGCTTGAAGTCTTCCAGCCTGCACAGCACAGGGAACACCTTCTGCTTCCACATCTCCACTGCAATCAGCTCCACCACCAGCGTCGGGATCTTTGGGAGGGGAAGGACAGGGATGAGGTGGGCCTACTTAGCCTGGCAACCCTCCCATCTCTGGCTCAGCCCAGCCCAGCCCTCCTCAAACTCCCCTGGGCTCCAGACTCTCCTCTGCTCCATGAATTCCTTCCCGATCTCTCTCCTGCACCTTAGACCTTCATTTCCAGCTGCCTCCGACATCTCTGTGGGGGCATTCCCCAGGCTTCCTATTACTGGCCCTTGCCTTGTCCCCAGGCTGCCATGCTCCCCCTGCACCTGAGCCCTTGTCAGGTCCTCCCCCATTCAAGTGTACCTCTCAGGCCAGCCCTCCTGCTCATTCCCTCTCTCGTCCCTGTCCTTTCACTCTTTTTTTTTTTTTTTTTTTTGCGGCTCGCGGGCCTTTCACTGTTGTGGCCTCTCCCATTGCGGAGCACAGGCTCCGGACGCGCAGGCTCAGCGGCCATGGCTCACGGGTCTAGCCGCTCCGCGGCATGTGGGATCTTCCCAAACCGGGGCACGAACCCGTGTCCCCTGCATCGGCAGGCGGACTCTCAACCACTGCGCCACCAGGGAAGCCCTTGGCCTCACTCTTATTCAGGGCCCTTCACAGTGCCCTATTCCTACCTCACACCCCAGTAGGGCGCTCCACCTTTTCCTTGCAGAGGAATCTTTCTGTCAAGTGATATTTCAGGTCACCTACTGGTGCCACCTCCTGGCTCACATTCCAGTTAAGCCAATCCCTGGTTTCTAACTCCCTCTCTCTCATGTTGGGAAGGTTGCCTTCTTCTATGCCAAAGTCCCACCCCACTTTAGTGGGTGCCCCCCTCTAGCCCGACAGTCTATTCAGTAATGCCTTGAGAACTTGGGCCCTCCCCCTACAGCCTAGGCTGTTCTAGGATCCAGGATTATCTCCCTAATCAACTCACATCCTACACCCCACCTGGCATGCCAGGGTCCTGTCCCATAGGGCTGCAAAATCAAATGTGTAACACACTTTTCCTTTTCCTTTGGGGAGGACAGGGGTGCCAGCCAGAGGGAAGTGCAGGCACCCAGGGTGTTCCTGAGGGGTAGACTGGTGGGGATGGGGGGTGGTGAGAAGACAGGAACCCTGCCTGTGACTCCAACCTACCTTCCCATGGGTGACCAGCAGCTCCTGGATGGGCTCGCCCTGGCTGGCCGTGGCATCAAGGATAGCCTGCATGTTCAGCTTCTCGAGATTCTCGTGCTGCTGGTTCCACCTGCCCAGACAGGGTGTGTGTGCATGTGGGTGCACATGTGTGCAGTAGGAGTGGGTGTGGGGGCTGGGTCCTACTGAAGCCTAACCGGGGTCCAAGGTGGCTCAGGACCATATAACCCTGTCTCGGAGAGCTTTACCTCCCCACCGAGGGGCCCCTCCACGCCGGGCAACCCCTCCCCCCAATGTCAGGCCCACACTCCTCCACTCAAGGACTCTGACCCCATGACTCCACCTGACCCCGGATCCAGCTGTCTCACCCTCCGGAGCCCATCTCGCGCAGGTGGAAGCTGCGCAGTCCCCGCACTAGCACGTCAGCCTCCCCGGGCAGCAGCAACTCCAGGTCGCCCATGTCGGCTCAAGGGACAGGAAGCGGGAAGGTGGGGTTCGGCTGACCGCGAGCAGCGGCCTGCGCTGAGATGTGGATGCTGACACGCTTGGGGACCACGGTCTCCTGCGGGCCCGAAGTCTGGGGCCCTACAGTTGTAAAGCGGTTGCGGAGCGTGAGTCCTCGCCGCCATGGAAACGGTTAGCTCAACGCCTGCGCACTGCGGTCTGGGTCCCGCCCCTGCTGGCGGCCCGCGCTGGGTCTCGTCACGCCAGCGTCTGCCTGCTTGCCAGGCTACGGGTAGCAACCCTCCTTAGATTCCTGGAGCTTTCTCCCTCACAACTGGCTGCGGCTCACGGGTCTCCCTGAGTTACAGACTCTTGCGTTCTGGCTTCCTCCTCGGATGGACGTCAAGTCGGCCCGCCCCCCACCAGCTCTCCCTGTAGCTGCTCCCTCTCCGCCCACACGGATGCTCCTCTCCGTGGCCTCCTCGCTCCAGTATTCCTCGCGCGCAGCTCCACCTTGTTGGCTCTACACCCGAAATACTGCGCAGGGCTCACAGCTTCTCTCCATCCTAGGCCAGGCTGCCATCACCTCTCATGAGGTAACTACTGTGGTCTTTTTACTGGACCCATTTCCACCCTTGACCTTCCTGAGTAGCCAGGAGTCTTTTTTTTTTTTTGGCCACGCCACGTGGCATGTAGGATATTAGCTCCCCGACCAGGGATTGAACCTCGGCCCTCGGCAGTGAGAGCCCTAAGTCCTAACCATTGGACTGCCAGGGAATTCCCACCAGGAGTCTTTTAAAGGTGTATATGAGACATTACTTCTTCACATGAGTGTGAATCTGGCTGCCTCTGGCCCTCAAAATACTATGTCCAAAGCAGCTTACCAGCAACTCTGCAGAATCAGGCTCTTGTCCCCTCTCCTACCTCGGGACTTCATTTCTTCCCCCTCTCCCCCTTGTCTTCTACAATATGTTCCAGCCCCACGGGCTTCCCTTGGCTTCCTCATACATCCTAAAGTGGCTTTTGCTTCAGGGCTTTTGCGCCTGTTACCTCTGTCTGGAATACTCTTCCTCCTTCAGAGTTCAATTTAAGTCAGTTCAGCTAGGCCTTCCTTGAGAATCTGATGCAGAGCAGCCTCAGCTCCCATCCCAACTCACTTTTCATCTCAGCTTCCCCATTGATTCTTTCTGGCTATTTATTTCAGTTTATAATTAGCAGGCACTTTTACATGCCCATTGTTGGTTCTGGCCACCAGATGGTGCTCCAGGGCGTCGGACCATGGCTATTTCTTTCACTGCGAGTTCTCTCTGGTGGCTGACTCAGAGGCAGTATTCAATAAAGGCAGGTTGAAATGGATGACTTTATTTATAGAAATGAGGGTTAACTTTGAGACAGTAATGGACTAGTTTGTAGGTCTAGTCCTCATGCACCAGGCAGGGCTTAGGAGGAGAGAATAGCCATAGCTGTGTGCCTGGTCCAGCCCCCACCAGCCTCACTTCCAGCAGATGATGATGTTGGGGTCATTTTCCAGCCGTTCATCCAGCTCTTGGTAGCTCATGCCTGGGTGGTGTGGTGGAGGTGAGGTCAGAAGCCTTGGCCTGGCCACCCTGCCTTGACCCCACCTCAGTGGTCCTGCCTGCCTCTACCTGTCTTGCAGCAGATCTCATCGTAACTGTGGCAGCCTGTGTAAAGCCTGGCAGGGTGGCTCCGCTCCTCCCGAGACACCCGCACAGGATACTTCTGTAGTCGCCGGATGAGGTTCTTCATAAGCCCGAACTGGATCAGCTTCCTGGGGTGAGGGTTGAGGAAGAAAGGGGTGATGCTCTGGCCAGGCCTCCTTCTAGCCAGGCCAGTCTCCCCTCCAGTTTTGTTTCAGTGACCAGACTGGACTTCAAACCCATCACCTCCAGGAAGCCTTCCTGGAGTAGCAGTGCCACATGATTCTGCTCATCAGGAATCTCCTGCTTTCTCTCTGACCCAGGGCTCGGGAGAGACACAGAGAGTGTACCTGCCCTCAGGCAAACCTTCCATGCCCCAGGGGATCCCCCTCTGACCGTTCATCAACGTGCTGCAGCTGTTGGGGGTGGCGGCCAATGAGATCTCTCACAGTAGTGCCAGGGCTCAGGCTGCAGTACAGCTGGAACACATCCCGGAGACTGGCCCTCTTGTGCCCTGTAGGCATCAGGGATCAGCTCTCCAGGTGGCCCTGCCCTCCCTGAGATGGCCTCCCCCAGAGCCTGCTAATACCTTGCTTGGTCACGTAGGATAGACACGCCTCCTGCAGGGACTTGTCATCTACTAGGTCCTGGACCTTGGGCGTCGGGCAGTACACATTGGAGTACTGGAGGGTAGCAGGAGGCATAGGGGCCTGAGTGAGGGGCTTGGAAGTCTGACACAGCCCCAATTGGGCTCAGCCACATGATCCATTCTCCATTTAATCAGACCCCAGACACACCTACCTGGAGGATGGACACCAGTGTCACAACGCCGTAGTACCTGGGGGAGATAGCTGTGCTCAGCTTCTGAGGGCCATGCCTTCCCAGCTCCCACACTCAGGGCCCCTGGGCTCTTCCTGACTGGCGACCCTGTCCTGAGTGTCACTGTTCCCCACTCACAGCAGGTTCTGGATGGCGATGCGCACTAGGTTGAGCTCCACGTCTGCCTCGGCTGAGATCTTCTGGACGTGGCGGAAACCATCAATGTAGGGCAGGATCTGGGCAGGGAAGAGCAGGGTAAGTAGGAGTGGGATGAGGCCAGGGCTGTGGCCAGCCGCAGGTCATGATAGCCAGGGAGGGCTAGCATACCTGTTGTGTGGTGAGGTCCCACTGTGAGTTGAAAAAATCCTCCTTGTCTTTGGTAAAGACAGGCACATCATACTCCTGGGCCACAGGAGGGTCAGGCCGCTGCTCGATGACCTTCAAGTGGATGGTGTTAGACTCATCTGCAGGGAACCCCATCCATATCCTCAGTGCCATCTATTCCAAGAGGCCATCAATTACCATCCAGTCCTCCCAGCCACCCTTGAGGCAGGCAGGTGACTCTGGGTAGGGCCATCTTCCCCTTTTATGGAGCAACAGACTGAGGTCCATACAGGGGAAGGAACACGCCCAAGGAGCAGAGCTAGAGAGCTCTACTGGCCTCCCCCTCTCCAGCCCCATCACGCACTGGGCCCTGGACATCATCAGCTCAGCTCATGGCTATTTCCTGGCCACCAATTTGTTCACGAGTCTTGTCCTTGACTGGGCTCACCTTCCCCTGACACTTCCCCATCCCTCCTTGACCCCTCTGCTGTCCTTACAGAGGCTGGGCCATACCGATGGGCAGAGTGCACCGGCCTGAGGCATTTAGCTCCTCCAGCAAGATGGTCATGATGGGCACCAACTTCTGTTTGCTCTCCTCCGTGGACACGAAGCTGCTCTCTAGCTGGATGGAGCATGGACAGCATGGTGGGCACACCCCAGGACCCTTGGCTGGCATCCTACTCTGGAAGGTTCCCGGGTCTGGAGGGCTTTGGAGACATGCGAACACCTTCCCTAACTCTGCCTGCCCATCCACCCAAGCCCATCCACCCAAGCCCATCGTGTTGCATACTTCCAGTGTGGTCAGGTAGCCAGCCAGCTTTTTGACGATGGGCTCAAGGGCACAAGTCTTGGCCTGGGCATCACACACGAAGCCTAGGTTGAAGAGCAGGGCATTGCGGCTGTACTTCTTGTGCTCGATGCACACGGGGCAGCCAATCAGTTTCTTCTCCATGGCTGTGCTGGACGAGGGGAACAGATGGGAACAGAGTCAGGCTCCTCTCACCCCCAAGTCTTTCCACTCCTCCTGGGAACCCTCCCAACCCCCCAGCTAGGGCCTCACACAGTGATGAGCTTATTCTGCAGCTCTGGCTTGGTGATGATGTACACCTGGACGGTGTCAAACAGCTCCCGGGAGATGAAGTCCTCGGGGACCTGTGGAAGGGAGTGCCAAGAATCCCCTTAGTGGACCTTATAACTAGGTGGAATACACAGGGTGAGCCCCAAGACCTAATCCCTCTTCTCCAGGGTTTCTCCTCTCTCCCATCCACCCAGGCCCACTCTTTTGTGTTTCCAAACACACATTATGTTCTCACCTACCTCCTGGCTTTTGCATACGCTGTACCCTCCACCTGGCACACTCCTGCCTCACCTAAATTCCGATGCATCCAGGGATACTAGTGGATCACCACTCACACCTCTCGTAGAACCTGGCACCTCCCCTGGGCCCCCATATCCCGATTTCCCACAATCACTGCCTATGTGAATGTTTGTTTGCCTTGCCACACCGGGAGCCTGGGACTGGGTCTGAATATACTCTTGGTTCACGATTTTCCGCGAATGAAGGGGTGGCGTGCCTGCGTGCAGCACGGGGCACTGGGTTCCACCGCTTCCAGGCATCTGGCTGAACTCCCCCGAGCGTCCCTCTACCTTGCCTCCCATGCCCCGCGAGCCCGGATGGCACCTGATAGGTGATCTTCGGTCCCAGCGTGGGGTGGAACTCGCTGAAGAATATGCATTCGATGCGGCAGCTACTGCCCATGGCGCTAGTGGGGCCGGGGTCCGTAGCTGGCGCCACTGTCCCTGGGAGCACCTGTCAGAAACAGCCCGGAGGTTTGGGCTGCCTGGTCAAGCACGCCTGCGCACTGAACACCCGTGAGGCCATCTGCTCAACAGCGCCTGTGCAGCGCGACTCAGCCGTGTGGCTGCGGGGGACTGTCCCAGGAAGTCCCGGATGGATAGGCGTCGCACCCGGAAGTTAAGAGGCTCCGCGACGGAGCGGCAGGGCGCGCGGCAGAGCCCCGAGTAACCCACTTTCTCGGGAGGGAACCACCTCGTCAGGTCGGCGCTGCGGGTGAGGCAGGCGAATCCCTAGCGTGTAGGGGAAGCAGGCCAGCGGCAAGTGGGGAGGCTGTGCGCAAAGGGACTCAGGCCATAATTTCGACGCAACTGGGAACTACAATTCCCGTAGTGCTTCACGCCCTTCCAGCAGGCGCTCCCGCCCGGCGACGGCGTGGTGCACGCTGGGATTTGTAGTCTATTACACGGCCTTGCCTATCTTACCTGGAAGGTGGGCCAGTGATCAGTGCCAATTCAGATGCGGGTACACGCTGACAGGCCACCAGTCCTCGACTATTCCTGGTGCCTGCCTTAGTACTGTCCCTGCCTACCTTAACTTTTTGGAAGAGAGTGGCATTCCTGCCCCGCAACCCTTGCTCCAGTGAAAGGAGTGGACAGCGGGCACCAGAGACCCTTGCTCACTCTGCTATGCTTTCAGGCTACAGCCGGCCTGGTTGACCATGGCCCTTTCTGTGGAGACCGAGTCGCACATATACCGAGCTCTGCGCACTGCATCTGGGGCTGCTGCCCACATTGTGGCACTGGGCTTCACCATCTTTGTGGCTGTACTTGCCAGGCCTGGCTCCAGTAAGTAGAATTCATAATTGACTTTTGGGAAGGAAAGTGTCACTTTTCCTGGGGAGCAGGGGCAATAGTAAGCCTTGGATCTGACTCCTGGGAAAGGCCTGGTTGGCTGAGGGACATGCTATGCTGGAGGAATAAGTGGGGTGGAATAGATGAGAGTTGGGGCTCTGCCAGCTTGGCCAGGTCCCATAGAGTACCTGGCTTCTCTTGTCTTGGTGCTCCACTTAGCTGCCTCTTGCAAAGTGCAGGGGGAAGGAGGGAGGACTGCCAGAGGAGTGGCAAAGCATGGCTTCTGATCCAGGGAGGGTCCAGGAAGAGATGATAGGTATGGGGTCAGTTTGTTGCAGCAAGAAGGGGCTTGCATTTTGGCAGCACCTCCTTGGGCGATGAGCTACTCATACTCCTCAGCCCGTGGGGATTGGCGTGGCTGGGTTCTTCTTGCTTCAGCTTCACGAGGCTTCCTCTTCTCATTCCAGGTCTCTTCTCCTGGCACCCTGTGCTTATGTCTCTGGCTGTAAGTAGTGGGCCTGTCCAGCTCTTAGGGATGGGAGGGAGCATAGCTATGGGTGGTGGTCTTAGCGCCCTCTAAATGTTAATGAACACTTAATATCTGTTTGGAGTAATGGGATGTGGGGTTAGATGCACTGTATGCTCCAACTCCTGCCTATAGTTTATATCCCATGCTTGAACTAGAGTATTCGAGATGCAGGGCAAATGGGTTTGTCTAAGCACAAAATGAGGCTTCGTCCACCTCCAGGCAGGAGGCTTAGAATATGCATTTGGGTATACCTGTGTCCCTTTTCACCTTAATTTATAGTGATGCACCTAATTTTCCTCAAACAGTGCACCCATGTGGCCAACTCTTGCCAAGAAATTGTATCCAGTCCTGTGTCAGAAAAACAAAGCTTGTGAATCATTTATAACTGCCACATCTCAAACCTTGTGTTTGCTGGGTAGCACAGCAGAGATGACATTTCAGAATAGCAGCTAGAAGCAGTGTGGAGAGGTACCTCCTGCTGGTTACTCAGAGCAGATGTTCTGTCCCAGATGGAATTCTCCACTCTTGTGCCACCAAATAGATACTCGTTAGTGGGGAGAGAATGAAGCGGAATCTGCCCACACTAGCTGGCAGCTTAGGTTATATCTAAAGCTTTCTTCCCTTCTGCTGGGCAGCACTCTCATTTAGTGTCCCATCCCTGTCTCCCCAGTTCTCTTTCCTGATGACCGAGGCACTGCTGGTGTTCTCTCCTGAGAGTTCGCTGCTGCGCTCCCTCTCGCGGAAGGGCCGAGCACGCTGCCACTGGGTTCTGCAGCTGCTAGCCCTGCTGTGTGCACTGCTGGGCCTGGGCCTTGTCATCCTTCACAAGGAACAGCTTGGCAAAGCCCACCTGGCCACGTGGCATGGGCGGGCAGGGCTGCTAGCTGTGCTGTGGGCAGGGCTGCAGTGCTCAGGTGGGGTGGGGCTGCTCTACCCCAAATTGCTGCCTCGATGGCCCCTGGCCAAGCTCAAGCTGTACCATGCCACTTCTGGGTTGGTGGGCTACCTTCTGGGTAGTGCCAGCCTCTTGTTGGGCATGTGCTCACTCTGGTTCACTGCCACAGTCACTGGTGGGGTCTGGTACCTGGCTGTGCTATGCCCTGTCGTTACCAGCTTGGTCATTATGAACCAGGTGAGCAACGCCTACCTGTACCGCAAGAGGATCCAGCCATGAGCTTTTCCCAGAACTAGGGGAAGCCTGGATTTGCCCCTCAGTGTGGCAGCCGGGGCTGAGACCTCCTGGACTCTCTCAGTTGACTCGGTCACGGGATACCTCAGGCCCTGGTGCGGTCACGGGTAGCCGGAGTCCTTTGTGTGACACTATTACTTGCTCCTCATGCTGGAGTACCTCTCCTTTCCTTCTTTTTCTGCCATCCCAGAGGAGTTTATGGATCATGTGTCTGGATGAAGTTGGGTTTCAAGACTGCCCCCTGCCCACAGCAACTCAACTTGTGCTGGTATGTCCAGAAATGAGATAAGAGAAAAAAGTAAAATAAAATTTTAAAAGAGACTGAAGGGACTTTCCCGGTGGTCTGGTGGTTAAGATTCCGCACTTCCAATGCAGGGGGCGTGGGTTTGATCCCACGTGCTGTGAGGCGCGGCCAAATATATATATATATATTAAGACTGAAAAGACTGGATGGGAGGAACAGTCCAAAGCTGGGGATAGTTCTTGCTAATGCCATCAGCATGAAAAAATGGGCAGCTGGGCAAGATGGGGACCCGTCCCTGGCTGCTCACTGAGGGGCTAAAGCTCTCTTGGCACACTAGCCCCCCGGATCTGGCTAAGCACCCCATGCCACTCAGGGCCCTAGCAGGCCCGAGGGCTGTAGCTGTGAATGGTGCGGCTGTGTGTATTTCAGTCTCCCAGCTGCTCATATGTTGGAGTTTCTAGACTGTGGTGGTCAAATCTGGGCAATGACAGGATGGGAACTGGGGATGGGCTGCCTCCCTAGATGTCAGGCCCTGAGCACTCTGTCTTGGAGGTGAGTCATGGATAAGAACAACTCCTTATGATAGAGAGGCGCTTAATTATCAGGTCCTCCAGGCAGGGCCTCCTTCACCAGGTAGTGCAGGGAGGCAGAAAGTAAGTAAGAGCCTGAGGTGACAGCTCTGGGAAGACTGCTTGACAGTGGGCATGTGGTGGTGAGGCAAGGGAGAGTGTGATGGGGGGAAGGGGATGAGGGCAATGGGCTTTTTATCCAGCTGGAGTAGCTTTGGTGACCAAGCCCTTGAACCTAGAGTTAAGTCCCTGTCTAACTCTGCAGTTGAGCATGATGAGGGGGCTGCACAAGGTGGTCTAACAGAGCCCAGGAGCCATACCTCAAAGAACTGCTTTATTGATACTGCGAGGCTGGGCTTGGCTGCCCACTCAAGTGGTCCTGTAGAAAATACCTGGGAGCTGTGACTGTTCTGGCCCAGAAGCAGCTATGGCCACAGCAGAGGGAATCAGAAATCTTGACATGAATGTAGTCTCTTTGTGGGCGGGCAGGGATGTACAGCCCTGCACTGGCTCCTGCACTGGCTGGACCCCCAGAATGTTTTTGGCAAATCCTTGCCTTGGCTCAGGGCTCTCGGCAACCAGTATCAGGTGTGAGGGTTGGCTTAGGAGCCATGGCACCAGTGCCCCTGCAGCCACTTGCTTGAGGCTGCTTGCTGAGGTACAGTCTTACCTCAGATGGCCTGGGCTGGCTGTGCTTCAGAGGCCCCATGCCTGGCATAGTGGTTGTCTGGAGTTGGAACCAGGTAGCAAGAATCCTGGGTAGTGTTGGCGAGAAATAGCAGAAGTCTGTGGCAACCCCCAGCAGGCCTTCTTCCCTCTCCTCAGAGCAGTCAGTGCCCTGGAGTAGCTGAGAGTGTGTCAAGGGGGGCTTGGGAGAAGAGGTGCTACACTCAAGGTGGTCTAGAGTTACAGCTTCGGGGGAGCTGCCTCAAAGGTGATCAGGCTGGATTCTGGGACAGGCCCCTTCCCTGGGAGCGTGGGGGCCTTGTCTGACGGCAGGGGGCTATCCACCTTGGCCCCAGCCTCCTCTTCATCGTCTTCCATGCTGGGCCAGACGGACTGGTCCTCCACTCGCTTCAACCGCTCGTTGAGGGCCTTCAGAGCCAGTTGCCTGGGGCCAGAGGAAAGATGACAGGTCACTCAGGATCTGAACTTGGCTCATGCCCTGCACTCTCTCCCCCAGGAAACTGACATGCCGTACTGCTCACACTCCTCTCTCAGAACCCTATGGGTTCTCCTTCCCCATACAGGGCCCAGGGCTCCACAGGGATTGGATTAGGGCACACTCTGCCATCAGAATGAGGACCCAAAGGCTGTAGGGCCTTCCTTCCATAGCTGGGGCACCTCCAGGCTGAGAAGGCCAGCTGGGTGCCTGCCAGCCTGCCCACAGGCCAGCCCCAGGAATGGTTCTGAGGATGGTGCCTAAGGTTGGGCAAAGCTGGTGTCCCTGGGCAGACAGGTGGAAGGGCAAGTCCCTGGACATGTGAGTTTCTGCTAGGCACTGGCATCACATTCAAGGCATTACTTCTCCCCCCTCTCCTTGTTAGGAGTATTTTGAGCCTCCTGGCAAGGGTCTGTGGGGAAGTTTGGAACTCAAGCACCTGCCTTGGCTCTCAGCCTGGGAAGCAGGGCCAACCTGGGTCAGCTCACCCCTCCTAACTGACTCTAATATTCTCCTTCCGAGAAGAATCTCCAAACCCACCAGGACCTGTGTTAGAGCAGGAACACACAGCGTCCTAGCAGAAGGAGAGGAAGGAGAAACAATCCATGTGGGTAGGGCACAGGCCAGAGCCTACTGGTTTCACTGGGCAGACCCCTGGAGACCCCACTCTGCGGGGAGGTGGGAAAGTTCGCTAGAAGAAAGTATATACGTGCACTTGGGACCCTGCCCACCAGGAGTTGGGATGCCCATGCTGCCAGGTAACACTTCTACTAGTGGTCACTGTGGACCCCTGATGCCTCCAAGTCTGTGCCACCAGCATGGGGGACCTGTATAGCCTTCCATGTTCCAGCAGAAAACCAAAATCTCCACCATGCCAGGGAACATGACGAGAGGGACAACAACAACATAGGCACAGAAAGCCCCAGCACACTTCCACCCTGTCCTCCAGCCTGGCACCATGGCAACTTGGCACAGACAGGATGCTGCGACCCAGGCTCCCATTCTGGAGACTGCCTTGTCAATTCTGTTTAAAGCCTGCCAAGGTAGAGAGATGGTGGCATGCTAATCACTCCCTCACAAGGGTCAAAGGTAGGAACCCCTGCCTCCCACTATCACTAGCTCTTTGGGTCAGGGAATGGCATGCAGCAAGATGTCAAACTGGTTGGTGGAGTAACCCCCATCCCCAAGCAAGGTAACAACCACAAGACTATGCCAAGAACCCACTTCCTGACACCCCCCACCCCAATCTGCCTCCACCTGTCCATTTTCTTGGGGCTGTGTAGAGGTTTTTCGAATGTTCAGCCAACCCTAACAATCCCAGATCTCCACTGGGGGAGGGGCCACCACTGTGGCCTGGGATCACCTGAACAGCTCTGAGGACAGCTCAGTTTCTACCAGGCCCAGCCCTCCTGACCGCATCGCCTCCACTGGATGAGGTTAATAGAGACCTCGGTCTTTAGGATTCATCAGCCACAGAGACAAAAACTGTAGAGCCCACAATTAAGCTCTGCAGCATGCCGTGTGTACTTTTCAACACCTGCCACCTTGGACCATAGTAATCTGTGGCCTTCCCCAGCTGGAAACTCCTTCAAGAAAGGGATGTGGCCCACACTCCACAGCCCCAGTGGAGAGTAGGCACAGGGACAACTCCAGCTGAATTCATAAAGCTGCCTGCTAAGAACTCATTACACAGGTGAGCAAAAACAGAAGGCTTTGACAAATGCAGACAGTATGAACAGAGCCTGCTCTAAATTTCACTACTCAAGTAACTGCATCAAAAAAAACACTCAAAAATAATGTGGAGGGGGCTTCTGGTGGCGCAGTGGTTACGAATCCGCCTGCCAATGCAGGGGACACGGGTTCGATCCCTGGCCAGGGAGGATCCCACATGCTGTGGAGCAACTAAGCCCGTGCGCCACAACTACTGAGCCTGTGCTCTAGAGCCCACAAGCCACAACTACTGAAGCCCATGTGCCTAGAGCCTGTGCTCTGTAACAAGAGAAGCCCGCGCACTGCAATGAAGAGTAGCCCCCGCTCGCCGCAGCTACAGAAAGCCCGCGCAAAGCAATGAAGACCCGACGCAGCCAAAAATAATAAATAAAATTAAAAAAAAAAAAAAAGAAGAATGTTGGAAACAGAGCTGTGACCACTCTGGTAAGTCCACAGACCTGGGAGAGACAGAAAGAGATGGATTAAAAAAGATCTGTCCTGCCCTGGCCAAGGTGCATCCAGTGAATAATTCAGTTGGGATTCCTGATGGTGCAGATGGCTTGGTTTACAGATAATGAAAAGGTTGTCTCCACTTCCTGGTGTGGTCAGCAGGCTCCCTCGGTGGGTCATGTGGCTGTCCCTGGGTTTGGTGACACATGCCTGCCAGAGTAGGCGGGGGTGGTGGGGGTGAGGGGGTGTGTCTAAGTCTAGTTATACCCCAGGCTTCCCTCTCAATAAATAAGCGGCAGAGAAGCACAACATCTGAATTAAGGCTCAGGAAGAGGGTGTAGTCCAGCGTTTGGAAACTAGGGTGGCCCAGACCATCTCTTAAGGATCCCATGTTTCCTTCTCTGTCCCTCTCTCACAGGGGAAGAAGGACCAGCAGGTTGTTTCTGGCTCCCACAGGACCAGTGTCTAGGATTTGGAGATTCTGAGACAAGGCCAGGGTTACGTGTACCTGGCTCTCCATTTGCCCCTCACACAGCTCAAAAGGAAGCAGGGCATTTCTTGAAACTTAAGCGGCCTCAGTGGTGAGAAAGGCCACTTTTACTCCCTAATTTTGGAAAGCACCTCCTGCAGCCCAGACACTTAAATGCTGAGCTCCAGGCCACAAGCTGGCTTTTCTCTTTCTAAATCCGCCCCAACATCTGACTGTAGGCTGCCAGCCTACATACAGCAAGCACCTCAACAGATGGAATGTGACTTGATTAATAATACTATCCTAGCTCGACAAGGTTTTGTAAGATTCCACAGTACCTTCTCCGCTCTGCGTCTTGAGGGTCTGTGCCTGGGAGGCTGATGGTGATGGAGGATGGGGCACCCACATCATAGCGCTTCACTGTCTTCTGGCATATCTTTACCTTCACCAGGAGGCCATGCACCAAGTTCGCCAACAGCCCCACCACAGGCTGCAGGATCTCAGGGAAGAAGGTGGCAAAGGCAAAGTGGTCGGCCATGTCGCCTCGGCCTCGGCTATGGCGCTGGTAGAAGCGAAGATACACCCAACTGGAGATCAGCCCAAAGCCATAGGAGGCCAGCGCTGGGCTCTGGAGCAGTGTGGCCAGCCGCAGCAGCAGCAGCAGCCCCAAGAGCAGCATGGGCACCACACTGACACGCACCTGAGGCACTCGCAGGACCACACAGTCCCCCATGGTTTGCTTGAGTGCCACCAGGACACCACCTAGGAAGCCCAGGGCGCCGTGGATGCGGACAGTGAAAAGGTACACCAAGTTGAAGGAAGCCATGTAGGTGAGGAGGTAGGCGAAGGCCCCCAGTAGCCCCACAGACACGTTCACCACTGAGAAGAAGATGAGCAGCTCCAAGGCCCCCCAGAGGGGCTCCAGCAAACGTCCAGCCACCACCACTGTGGCCAGGCTGATGGCCACATCCCACACATGCTGTTCCATCAGCCCATGGGTGGCCAGGGTCCAGATCCAGAAGTTGGGTGGAAAGAGGTAGCCTGGGGTGACCGCCAGGCAGCCCGTGTCCACGGCGAAGGACAGCAGGTAGAGGAATAGTACCGCAGCGCACAGAGCCTTCACCACCACGCTGGCGCTGGACAGGATGGCCCCCAAGTGTTGGCGGGCGCCCGGTAGGGCGCGCTGCATCTTCCTGGCGGGCGTCGGCCTTAGGAAAGGGTTTAGTGGGCTAGGGGCCTCCCCGGGGCCTCGTCCCAGTCCGGCCCCGACGGGAGGCCCGGGTCCGACCTAGTCACTGGCCTATGGCCCCGGTGAAAGGTCCACTTCCGGTCGGGTCGACTCTGGTCCCAAAGGGCAGAGCCGGGCCTGGTCGCGGGGCCGGGGCCTAGGCCCCTCGCCGGGGATCTGAGGGAAGACCCTGGGCAGCTTAGGCACGCCTAACTGCCTGCTCTGTGTGGCCACCGCGCCGACCGGAATGGCGGTGATCTCAGGGCTCGATCTTCTCCATCCACTCTGGGGCCCTACGGTCGACGCGGGACTGGAGGCTGGTTCTGGGTCGGAGTCAAGTCTGGTCAGCTCCGCCTCGGCCTCGGCTTCGACCGTACCTCCTCCCTTCTCAGGCGCCGACAAACAGCGGCGCTGCGCCTGCGCGCTCGGAGAGGCTGCAGGACGCCCTCTGAACGTCGGCCTTACGGTTCCGCGGCATGCTGGGACATGGAGTCCTCGGCCGGAGCCGGGACCAGCGGATATCAGGGTTCTGGGTAGAACAACAAGTCCCAGGAGGCTGTGCGCCGGAAGAGGAGAGTGTGCTTGGGAGTTGTAGTTCTCAGGACCGTTTCCGTCGGTTCTCCAGAGGCGGGGGAGGGTGAACGGGCATCGCTAACCTCTGGAGAGCAGCGGGTACCAGCGGCAGCACAGCTGCAGGCCACGCGCGTGCTGAATTTCCCGGAAGGATTGGATCAGTGTGTGCCTGTTTATCTGAGTGGGTGTGTCCTAGTGGGCAGGTGTGCAGGTAGGAATGTTGGATGGTCCAGGGGGCGCGAACTCCTGGAACTTCCGCGGTCTGGTGTGTGCCTGACCCAGGTTGGAATTCTTGCTCTGCGTTTTGGCGGCTGTGTGACAATGGCCAAATTCCCGAACTTTGTTGAAACCCAGTTTCATGGACAGTAAAATGGGGATGATGACAGGACCTACCGTGAGGATCCAAGGGGACTGGCGTGTACAATGCCAGTCCACCCTGGGTGCTCAGTGAGTGTGTTGCCCAGGCTGCCCTTGTTACAAATGAGGTGGAGCCCATACCGGAACTCGGATCTCCAGCCCCCAAAGGGGTGAGACTGGACTTGACTTAGTGACTCTCTTCCTCACCACAGTCAATCGCTGATCCTGATGAAGAGAGGTCTCTCCACAAACTTGGGTCAGGCTGGCCTTGGGTCTCCACCTCACTGCAACGGTGGCTTCAGGTAGGTTGTGTCCTGTGCAAAACTGATTTTTGTTTTTTGTATATTGAGTTTTTTTTTTTAATATGCATATAATTAAAATAAATATATGACAAAGTACATTTATAAAGTGCAGAATCCCTTCCTTTCCGCCACTGATCTCAGTACAACTGCCGACGTGTGCACAGCCTTCCAGATCACAAAAGGTGTTGCTTTCCTTTACCTTTGGGCTCTGGGTTCCTGCTGCATGCCACCCCAGGGTAGGGTTGCCAGATATAGCAAATCAAAATACAGGGCGCTCAATTAGCATTTCAGTTAAACAATGAATAATTTTTTCAGTATAAGCATGTCTTCAATTTTTAGCATAGTTATGTCCCATGCAATGTTGGGAACATACTGAAGAATATTCATTGATTATCTGAAATTCCAAATTTGATTGGATGTTCTGTATTTTACATGGCAGGTCTACCCCAGGACCTCTGGGGCTGTTGCGGAGCACGGGAGCTGCCTCAGGGGTTGCTAGTTAGGCTTTGCTCTGTGGCCAACCCTTGCAGAGGGTGAGGAAAGGTGTCTTCACTAAGACCTGGAATGCCCTCTTTTATTTATTTAGCATCCAAGGTCCCCAAGCCACAGGCCACCTCATTTCCAAAACCTTTGCTGGTTTCTTGCATCTGGGAGAAAGGATTTCTCCTAAGTCTCAATTTGCTCATCTGCGGTATGGAGATAAACTAATATCCAACTCTAATGTGTGGTAAGTACTCAGCACAGGGTGAGTGCATAGTGTGGAGTGTGTACTGTAAGAGAGCAAGTGTCAGTAGTACTGGGAAATCTCTGCACTGGTGGTTATAAGTCTTTCCCGTTGAAAAGAAACTCGAAGGTCACACAGAATAGGATTGACTATTAAGAGAGTTGGGATTAAAATGAACAAGGGTGTAGGGCTTGCCAGAGGGAGGCCCGAGATTTGCTGAAATGGACTCAGAGCTGTGTTCCAGCGTGAGCAGCAGTGGCCACTGACAGCACCAGGCCTCCTCTGGGCTGGGAAGGAGCAGCCATCATGCTTGTGGGTGGGCCAGACCTTGGCCTCCTCTGGACAGCAGCACTGGCCCTCAAGCACGAAGTCATGGACTTGGGCCAGGTAGTCACTCTTTGCTCCACCTGGAGGACCTGCGTATGCCCTGGTAGTCTGATCCTATTGGCTAGAAGCCTGCATCTCATCTCCATCTTCTTTCCTCCACAGTCTTGGCCTTGAGCCTCTGGGAGACTTTTTTTTTTTAAAGACAGTTTTTCCTGGAGGCTTTTGATAAGATTATACAAGACAAAGGATGTCAAGGATCTGGCACTTAGGAGGCCTGGGAAGCGTCATGCCCTCCACCCACCAGAGACCTGGATTGCTATGGCCTTCACTCCCAATTAAGTGGTAAGTGGGGCTCTGAGGTCATGGCCACCTGTCTTCAAGCCACCCAGTCCTCACTCCAGGGCAGAGACAGTGTATGGGAACCATTTGAAGTGAAAATATGAACATTATTTAATAACTGATCTTTTGTAATAAACCATTTGAAAATATTTTACAAGGAATCACACACACAATATTTTACAAAGTTTCTTGACTTTTTTGTCGCTGTTGTTTTTCTGACTTGTCTGTACAAAATAGAACAACCAAAAAAAAAGGGCAGATAAAAGGAAATGGCCCCCCAGTCCCCCACAGATCCCCCGAGCCCGAGGTGAGGGGACAGCCAGGTCGGGTGGGTGATGAGAAGGATCAGACCCAGCTGGGGGTTTGACAACTACCTGATGGGGATTGCTTTGTCTGCTTTTCTGTTTTTTAAACTTAAAATATATATTAATTTATCTGTATATGTTTCTTTCTTTCTTTTTATATTCTCCATTGAGCACCTGACTACACTACAGTTACACACACGCCCCTGCAAGACATGGCTGGCATCTAGGCTGGGTGTACAGCATGGGTGCCCACCCTGGCACCAGCAGTGGGCATGGACCATACACACACACTGAGAAAGCGACAAGCAACGTGACATTAATTAACGGAGCCATTAATTAATGTATCACCCTCCCCCCCTCCTCCCAGTCCATCTGAGCCCTATGGCCATATCCCCCTGCCCTCAGTCCCCCAATGGCCCCCAGGCTGGGATGCCTTTGCAAGAAATGACCAGAATGAATGGTGTGAAGAGATGTTCCCAGGCCCAGCCTGTGTATGTGCACAGAGTGTGTATATGCATGTGCAAGTGTGTGTTCAGCAGGGAGGAGCAGTTTGGCCAGGGAGTGTGTGAGTGGGAAAGAGACAGGCCTGAGTGTATAAGGGGCAGATTGGGGGTGGGATGACCCAGCTAGGAGTAATCAAGTCACCCCCGCTAAGGCAAAGGGTGATGCCTGGTGAGAGTTCCTCTGCTGAGGGGTGCAGGCAGTGGCATGTGGTCCCACTGGGGGCCTGACACTAGTGAGAAATGGTTACAATGAGCACCTGGCAGGGTCAGGGGCAATAAGGGGACACTGGCGGCTAGGTCAGGACAGAGGGGTCTTCACCCTTTGCCCCAGCATTTGGCACTGTTTGACATTCAGCTTTAGAGATGGGGGACCAGCTGGGTTACAGGTCACATAAGAGGCGGACGGTGAGCAGGAGATGGAGTGTGCACATGCCAACCTCCCACCAACCCCTCACCCCGTATAAGGCTTTGTGAGCCCCCACCCTCACCCCAACCCAGGGTGTGTGTGTCTGTGCACGTCTGTGTTTGTGTGTGTGCCCTCCTGGGTATGTCGGAGTCCAGTTTCTGCCCTCAGGGCTCCAGGTGTGTATGGGGTTGAGTCTTAGCCGGTGTCACTGTCACTGTCCTGCCACCTGCCGGGCTTGGGGAGGGACAGGTGGCTGTAGGCCTGAGAGAGGCAGGAGCTCATTGGGGGCTGCCCCAGGACCTCTCTCCTGCCAGGACTTAAGCTGGGATGCACAGGCGTCAAACTGCCCATCTCAATTTCCTCCATTATTCCCAGATTTAGTCCTGGGTGTAGCAGAAGGGCCAGGTTAGAGGAGTCCAACTGGGGCAAGACCTCGGTCTTCCACACAAAGGGAGCCTCGGGGCAGGGCGGGCTGTGGAGGCCTGGTTTGGCACCAGTACTGTGGCCTCCCTGGCCCAGCCCTCCGGGGTGGGTGAGTCCAGTGGGAATGAGGGGTCTGGGGACACTCTGACAGTTCAGCAGCCAGACGTGGCTTGGGGGCCAAAGACCTGCGGCGCCTTCCTTCGGGACCCCCCCTCCCCCCAAGGCGCAGATTCTCGGGGCCAGACGCACTCAGGTCCTTCAGTGAGGGAGGGGGGCGAGGCTCTAAGGTGGGAAGTGTGGTGCGAGGGAGCAGGGGAGCGGCGGGGAGGCCTGGTGGGGGGAGGGGCACTCAGAGGCGGCGAGAAGGGTGGGCGTGGACTTGAGGCTGCGGCCGGGGAGGCAGGCTCAGGAGGAGTAGCAGCTGCAGGGACACCAAGACGCCCAACGACGGTGGGAAAGAGGCTCCGCGGCCGCAGTCTGAGGTATCTTCCTGTGGAAAGAGACAAGGAGCAGCCGGTCTGCCCGGGCTGGGCGGGCAGCGGGTGCGCAGGGCCGCACTAGCCCTGGGGCAGGGGAGCTGCAGGTCAAGGCCGCCGCCCCCCTCCTCACCGTGGCGTTGTAGTCGAAGCAGATGTGTGGGCCTCTCCGGTATCGCGGTCTCTGCACCAGTTCACACTGCTCCGGGCCGTCCGCTGGGCATGGGTGGGGAGTCAAGGGGGCGGCGGCACGGAGGGAACGCGCTGGGCGGGAGGGGCCGGGGAGCAGCGCGGGAAGGATACAGTGTGTCTCCTTCTGCAGCAGCCGGCCAGCCTCACACTGGCTGCACAGCGGCTTCTCTGCCACCACGAAGAGAAGGTTGGTGTGGGTGAGTCTCTGTGCGTGGAAGAGCCTGGAGGCAGCACAGAAAGGCGGGGCGCTGAGGTTCGCCCCACCCCGCCGCCCCTCCCCTCCCCTCCCCTCCCCTCCCTTCCCCGCTGCAGCCCCGGCCCGGCCCGGCCCCGCCCCTCTGGCCTGCTCAGCGCGCGCACCTGGAGCAGTTTCCGCAGTCGATGATGGCGTTGTAGGAGGCGTTCACCGAACCGAAGTAGTACTGGGTCTGTTTCATGACGCAGCTGCTCTCGCGCACCTCGGGGTTCCCCTCGGCCTCCGCGGGGTCTGCGAGGGTCCAGAGCCCCTCAGCTGCACCCCTACACCCTGAGCCTCGCTCAGCCGTAAGCCCCGCCCTCCCTTTGGAGTAGGTCTCAGATTGGGGAGGGGCTTTGAGGAGGGACCTCCAAAGCCCTACCTACCTGCCTGGAACCAGCTGTGGTAGATAAGACCATAGAGAAGTTGCTGGAACAAAGACCTGCAGGGCATGGGTCACCGAGTGGGAGTGGTCAGCGAGGCCAGTACCGTGCCCCATTTCTTTCCAGCCCTCCTGCCCAGGGAGCACCCTCCCTCTCCCATTTCCCCTGGGGACTCACCAGGCCGCAGCAGAGGTCCACCAGGCTAGGTTAAGGAAGTCTGCAATGGTGGGCTGCAGTGGAGAGAGTGGCATGGGCTCCCACTGCTGCCCCTGGACCTGGTTCACCCCCAGCTTTCTCGTTAGAGGTAGGGGGTCATCTGTGGGCAGGTCTCCCAGTCCCCCCATCTGCAGGTCAGGCAGTGCTGGGGCTCACCACAAAGATGCCCCGGGGTGCGGCACCCAGGTTGCCCGGGGGCAGGGGGGCACAGGCTGCCTGATAGTCGTAGGACTCCTTGCGGGTGTAGAAGGAGTTATTGTAGAGTGCCAGCATCAGGTTGGCATCCACCTCACTGAAGAATCTGCCCACCTGGGGATGCCGGGAGGCAGTGGTAGTCACAGGGCTGGCAGTGCCATATCCCCAGAAGGCTCAAACCCAGACCCTCTCCTTCCACCCTCTTCCTGACCCTCACCTGGTCCCACTGATGGTTCTGGTTTGACAGCACCAGGAATCCCCCATCATCAATGAGGACACAGAGCAGGTCCTGAGAGGTGGGAAAGGGGGAGGAAGATGGGGAGGGGCTCCAGCCCAGCCTTTCCTCCACAGACCCTGGCAGTCCAGTAGCTGAGTGGAGGGGGCACCATTCCCCCAGTTCTGGTAAAGCTGTGAAGTCAGGGTGGGATGTTGAGACCCACTGGCTAAGGGATGGGATGGGCTAGGAGCTGCATTTGGGACTCAGGTGTCCAGGAGTGGGGTAAGCTAGCGTTCAGGGCACACGCACCTCGTTGTTAACCTCGCAGTCCATCTCACAGTGGCTGTTGGGGCCGCACTGCTGGGCAGAGAGCAAGGACCGTAAGTGCCCACCAGTTTTCCTCCTCCCATCACCCTTTATACATCGGGGACCCTGCCTCCCCAAAGGCACCAGAGCCACTCTGAGTGGGAGGACTGGTAGGGGTTCCTGGGGACTCCAGAATGGGTGCTTCTGGGCTTACTGCCCTCATCCCTGACCAGATACCTTCTGAGGCTGGTCCTGGTGGGTACGGTTGCTGGCTAGCACCTTGAACTTCTCAGCCCAGGCCTCTAGGTCCAGCTTAACGCCTACCACTGTGGGGGAGAGCAAGGGGCCATCAATGCCCACCTACCTGGGCAGCACACTGCCCATTTTCTCTTTCCCTACCTCCGCCCTGGGTATTCACCTGCTGGCCTCAGTGTGCGTCCACCTAGGCTGAGCTCCACAGCCGTGCTGACGAGGATGCCCACCGTGTCATTCTCCAGCTCCAGCGGCCTTAACCGGGCTGGGGGTGGGTGAGGTGGGGTGGTCAGGAGTAGGGGCTGGCAGCCACATGACCACTCTGTGCTGGGCCCTGGGAGCCCAGGAACCCAAGGCATGGCTGACCTCAGCCTAAGCACCGGGCACCCAGCATAGCGTCTGGCACAGCCTAGCCCTCTCTTTATCTGCCCCATCTCAGCCAGCCAGCCTCGAATCTGAGAGGGACCTCAAAGAGCAGAGCCTCGCCCTGGCTGAACAGAGAAGCCTCAGCTTCCCACCTGCTGCTGTGCGCCTGGGAGGACACTCACCATCCTGTTGTGGGGGCTTGAAGACATAGCCATGGTTATCCAGGCTGCGGCGGTAGAAGCTGGCATTGAAGGGCTCAGGGGTCTCTGTCCAGTCCTCAGCTGCCCTGGTCACACAAGAGGTTGGTGGAGGGGTGGCTTGTGGGGGCAGTGGTCTCAGCAGATGAAAGAAGGCCTCTGGGCAGCGGGACAGGCGGGGTCCCAGCAGGGGCAGGGTGTCGGATAGTGGGGCAGGTCACTTACTTGTTGGGGAATACGCGAGTGATGCCACCATCAGTGGCGGCGAACACGGCCAGAAGGCTGTACCTGGGGGCAGCAGGGAGGTGAGGTCACAGACCTACTTTCTGCAGGGCACGGCCAGCGCCTCTGGGCCCATCCCAGCCTCCTGCCCCCACAGGCTGGGTGGTGCCTACGTGTTGAGATCCTGGTCCCGCCACACGCGCTCCACCAGCTGCTGTGTGATGCCCGTGTCCAAGATCAGGTTGTGCAGAAGGAAGTTGTTGCCTGGAACAGGAGGGTTGGGGTGGAGGGAGGATCTTCTTGTGGATCCCTGCCCACTCTCCCCGCTACCCCCAAGGCTCCGAACCTTCCCCATGACCTGGCCCAGGACCTGCCCTTGGTTTGGGCCTGCATGTTTCCACACCTGCCCAGTCTCTGGGTTCCTCTGGGCTGCCCCCTTGCCGTCTGGCACTGCCCAGACCCCGCTGCCCCACCAGTCACTCACACTGCTTGGAGTCTGGAGTCACTTTCTCCATGAGCTCAATGAAGTTCTTCAGGAACTCAGTGTTGTTGTCTGAGGCATTCAGTTCCTTGCAATACTCTCTGGGGGTGGGGAGGGGCAAGAAGAGTGGGCTTGGGGGAATGCACAGGGCAATAGGGTTGAGGCTTCCCAACAGGCCTGCCTGGCCATTCGCTGAGAAGCCCAGGCCTCAGGGAGGGGCATGTGTATTCTTACAGGCTTCAGTGACTATACGCCCAGCAGGTAACCAGGTCTGGACAGGGGCAGAACTGACCTGCTTAAGTGCAAGAAGCAGAGAATGAGGGTCTGCTTCCACCACCCAAGCAGGTTCTCCCTTCTGGGCATGGCCCTGCAGAGCCTCTCACCTCTCCTGTGTAGCTGGAGCTAGACGGTGCACCTGGGAGGCCCCAGGAAATGCCTCATGGCTGGCTCATCGAACTGTGTGCCATAGCGTTCCGTGGGCACAGTGGGTGGAGTCCTGACACTGGCTTAGTTGGTCTGAGACCTCATCCTGCTGCTTCCTGGCTGTGTACCTTTGCGCAACTCACTCAAGCTCCCTGAGCCTTAGTGTTTTTCATCATACCACAGAGGGTGTCACCAAGTCAGTGGGAACACGTGGCTCCTTGGATTGGCTGTTCCCTCTGCCCAGGGTGCTCTTCCCCCAGAGATGGACAGGCCAAATCCCTCACCTCCTCAAGGTCCTCTCTGGGCTCAGAATGTGGGTCCAGAGAACGTAGGGGCTGAAGGGAGCAGGGAGATCTGCTTGGGGTTCTGCTCCCCAGGAAGTCTTGGCAAGCAGTCCTTCTACCCTGGTACATGGAGCTATCTTTCCTGCCTAATCCCTCATCCATACCCCTGCCACCAGAGACCTCCTCACTGGCCTGCATGGCAGCAACTTTGTGGGAAATTTTTAAATGCTCCTCTTCCCGAGGCTATGCTAGGGCCCAAAGCTTGGTGAGGGCACCTGGGACTGAATCTCAGTCCCCACTTGCTCCCAGGGCCTTTGTGCAGTACACAGCCTGCACTTCTGTATGGGGGAGAACACACCTGATACACTTAGAGTGACACCCATACAGCTGAACTTGGGATACAAGTCACCTGCAATCCCTCCCCCTCACATAATATGTACATTTACACTCACCCAACACATATTTATTGAGCTCTCCTGTGCCAAAGATACAGAGGTGACAAAAACAAACATGGTCCCTGCCCTCAGAGCTCCCTCAGGGTCCTGTGGGCCACACAGGCCTTTCCATACATTCCCACAGTCACCAATGCACACGGCCACCCCACATTTACACTTGGACTCTTACAAATGTACATGATGACTCACAAATACAAACACACATCTACAGAGAGTCACAGCGAACTTTGTGGGTGCATGCACGCACGTGCACACACATGGAGGTTAGGAGTGTCCAGAGCCCCCGTGTGGTACCTGAGAGTGCCCATGGATCTCTGTCAGTTGCACCCACCTGCCCTCATGCAAAGCCCAGGCCACAGGGGAGGGCTTCACCACCCGGCGGCCTGCTGGCCTCCTCAGATGTGGGCCAACAGACAGAGGGTGTGCACACGAGGGTGCATGCCAAGGATGGTCCAGGCCCAGGTCTGTGCTGGGCCCTGATCCCTTACTTTCCAGAGAGCTCTTCATAGTCCCCATCCCCTCATCCTCCTCCCGTCCTCAGTGAGCCACCACACCTAGATGGGGCACTGCCGACAGGGGCTCTGGCTGGCTCGGTCACCACACCCACACAAACACTGACTGACACGGGACAAGGACAGGTGCGGGGTGGGGGTGGGGTGGGGAGGGCGCCACAAACCAGAGCAGCAGCTGCCCAGTGAGGGGCGTGCTGCAGACAGTCGGCGCAGGGCAGAAAGGGCTCCTTCCTGGTGGCCTGGGAGGGCAGGGAAGGTCAACAGAGTCCAGAGCCCTCCCGTCCGAGGCCTGGTGGGAGCTGAAGCTATGGGCACTGGTGCCTGGTGTGCCTACATGGCCCAGGTATGCACATGGCCACACATACAGGGCTGTGCATGGCAGGGTGACACTGCACAGGACACAGACACATAGCTCCAGGCAGCAGTGCAGGAGGTGGGCCCAGGGAGGTCAGGTTGGGGGAGGACACCTCAGCAAGGCCACACGCAAGCTACCTGGGAGCAATGAAAACATGTCCTTCAGACTCAAAGCTGCTGGGGAGCAGGAACTCAAAATCTGCAACAGAAACGGGGGGTTATCCGGCGGGGGCTGGGGAGGCCAGAGGCCAGGGGTTCAGAGCTGACGGGGCTGGAGGGACAGGGAAGAGGGTGGCTTGAGGGAGGGAGACACCAGCAAAGAGGAAACCCGCCACTTCCATGTTCAAGTTCGAGCCAGAGAGAAGAGGCGGGCGGGGAGGGCCTGTGGAGACTACAGCATCGCAGGAGGAGGGCAGTTATAGCCAATATGTTGCCCAGGCCTGGTCCTCTGTCGGCAGTGAGTCCCTTGGCGTGGCTGTATATGCTTCCATACGGCTGTATAGCACATATACACGGACATACACACACACATATATATACACACACTGCTATATATATGCATGGTCTGGGGGAGGCACCAGTCTCGCTCTTATCACATCCATAATGGAAAAAACCGCATGCTGAGCTTCCTTCCTCCAAAGAGACTCTGAGGAATGGAACTGGCTTTTGGCTGCGGATTTTTATCTCTCTTTGCTGTAGCTGTTTGCATTTTGGTAGGTCTTGCTTTTATTCTGTGTCAGGCATCAACATGGCCAAACCGAGGGGGTTCCTCACGGGCACAGACAGTCCAACCAGAGACAGTGTGGGCAGCTGGGGGTGGGCTGCAGTGCATTGTGGGGGTCCAGTGGTCTTCCCTGGGGTAGGAGGCTGGGTGAGGGGAGATCCTTGAATGTTCCCACACTGTGAGAGGAGAGTCTGGGAGCTGGGAGGGCACAGAAGCGCTGCTCAAACATGAACACCCTCTTGGGCCGGGGGCATGAGGGCAGGTTCTGGTCTATCCAGAAGGCCTGTGTCGGGTCTATCCTTCCGAGGACCTGTCTGGGCTCAGAGCAGCAAGGGAGAAGCTGGGGGCTCCAGAGAAGGCATGGGGTGCTGTTGAGGGATCCACCGACTGGGCCTGTACGTGTGTGAGAGTGAGCACATATGTATGAGCGTGTATGTGCATGTGAGAGCACGTGTGTATGCATGAGTGTGTAAGCATGTGCGCATGTGTGCAAAGGTCCCTGTGTGGGTCTGTGAGTGAATCTGGGGATGTGGCTACTAGGGCTCCTCTGGGGCCTCTCCCTGCCCAGCTGGGCTGGCCACCTTGCTGGTCTGAGTCTGGGAGGTGTCCCTCTGTTCTCTTATTCTGGGCAATGCACCTCCCTATCCTTTCACCCAGATTCCAACCTCTTTTTTTTTTTGTTTGTTTTTTGCCACGCGGCATGTGGGATCTTAGTTCCCCGACCAGGGTTCGAACCCACGCCCCCCCTTCATTGGAAGCCCGGCATCTTAACCACTGGACTGCCAGGGAAGTCCCAGTGCTTTATTTTTGCAGAAGAGGGGTCTTCCCTGTTCCAAAATACTCCCACAGTGCACTGCAAGATTCTGGGGAGGGGGACTTTGGGTGCCTGGAGGAGCTGGGCAGTCACTGGTTGGACTGTTGCTTTCTGATAGGACTGTGAGGCAGGGTTTGGACACAAGCCAACAGGGAAGGGTTGGGGTGGGGAGAGGAAGAAGAGGAGAAAGAAAAAGAGGTGGGGGGAGAGGAAGGGAGACTATGCTATGGTTGTCATTGTTATCAGGGCCCTGCATTTCTGGGGTCACTGGGAGGGATGTAGGAGGGGGAGACAAGACAACTCAAGCTAGTGGGAGTAGGGCACGTCCTCCACCTCCACCCAGGCCAGTGGGGGCAGCTGGATCCCCTTTGCTGGACTAGGCTGGACAGGGCCACTAGGGCTTCTTAGGGAGACCCTACTTCCCCATGCGGACTGGGGACAGGACATCTCCCCATGGCTCTCCATGGCCCATCTGCCTCGGTGTTCCGTGGGGGGCCTCTCTGTGCACCAGCGGCAGAGACCCTTGTGTGCTGTCCTCTCTCACTCTTGTTCTTTGCCAGGGCCTGTGAGTTCACTGCCTACCTTTTCCCGAAGTCTCTGGCTTAAGTACCTCTGAGTGCCAGAATCTTTTTCTTCACCCCCAGCCTGATTCCCTCTAAGCTCCTTTGCTGGCCCTTGGGGTCCAGAAAGATCCCCTTCTGTTCCCAGCCAGGCCCAGGGGCCCTGAGTCTGCCTTTATTTCCCAGGGGAACACCTTCCATACCTGACCACTCTTCCCAGGAGCAGCCAGCACCCCAGGGCAGGGCTGGGCCAGTGGGCCTTTACAAAGTCACCAGGAGTAGCAGGGGTGGCAGGGGACAGGGGTTTCAGCACCTAGGCCAGCGTTGGGTCTGCCTTGCTCTCCTGGTGGCCTGGCTGCTGCCCTATCCTGCCCCTGGGCCCCAGGGTCAGGGTGTGGGGCTTCCAAAGCCTTCTGTCTCCCCTTGGGAGGGCCGCCAGCTTGTGGAGAGAAACTGGAGAGATCTGAGGAGGGAGAATATCCCCGAGGAAGCCTCACATAAGCCCTTTTGAGGACTGATCTACCCCCTACATCTCAGGCCCCTTGCCCTAGTGGGTGGGAGGTGGTAGAGAGCCATCTAGCCCTGTCCCCACTGTTGAGTTGTCTTGGAGGGACAGAGAAGGTGGGGTGGGGGGCAGAGGCCTGCCCAGAGGGAGCCAGGAGGATGAGGAGAGGGCCTGAGCTCTCAGAACACGCCGGAGACCACCCTGCAGGCAGGGCCAGGGGAAAGGGCTGCTGGCTCTAATAGAGGTTTAGGGATCAGAGGAAAGGCAAGAACTAGAGGAGCCCGGGGGATGCTGGGGGGGAGCCCTGGAGAGCAGGGGTTTGGCTGGTCCTGGGCAGGGAGGGGGGCAAGCAGGGGCGTGAGGGCAGGGGGTGGGGTGGGGAGAGGAGGGTGCACTGGTTCTGAATATACTTGCCCTTCAGTTTGCTGATTGGCACTGGGACAGTCCACCAAGAGAGAAAGCGAGGAAAACAAAAACAACACAAACACAAAAACAAACGAAAAGGGGGAGGGGAAGGGGAGGGGCACAAACAATATTTTATTCAATGGCTGTTTGAATGAAAATATTGTGTCTCATCATCATACCGAAAGGAAACTTCTTGCAAAAAACGACATGAGAGAGAAAGAGAGAGCGAGAAAACTCAAAGGAGATGAGCCCCAGTCAGCCAGGCAGGTGGGGGGCGCCCGGTGGGGCCGGAGCCCCAGCCTCCCTCCCAGTGACCTCGGGCGGTGGGCAGGCGGGGCCACGGGCTCCAGAGGCCTCTGGGGGAGGCCCAAGGTGAGCAGGACATGCAGGGATGAGCCACAGGCAGAGGAGCGGGAGAGGGAGGGAAGGAAGGAGGAAGGGCAAGAGACAGGGAGGGTGGGGGAGGCAGGGATGAAGGCCCGAGGAAGGGAGCAAAGGAGGGGAAGGGGTAGGAGAGAAGATGGAGAGAGGAGAGTGTGAGAGGAGAAGAGAGGGGGAGAGACTGAATGGACAGTGGGAGGGAGGGGATGTGGGAGAGAAAAATGGAGGGAGTGAGCAGAAGGAAGCGGTAGGGAGAGAAGGTGCGGGTGCAGGGAGGGGAAAGGAGGAGGCAGGAGGGCGAGAGGGAGCGGGAGGGAAGGAGGAAGGGCAAAGGGAGAGAGTGAGGGGGCAGGAAGGCGATGGAGGCAGAAGGTGAGAGAAGAGGTGAGGAGGAAAATAAGGGAGGATGAGCGAGGGGGGACAGAAGAGGGGGCAGGGTGGAGAGAGACCCGGGGGTGGTGCCACAGCGGGAGAGCGCTGCGCAGGGAGCAGGGGGCAGGAGGGATGAGAGGAGGGGGTGTCTTCCAAGAACTCAGCCCCCAGGCGTGTGTGGGGGAGGCAGGCTAAGGAGGGAAGACACGGAGGAGGAGAAACCAAAAACAGAACCTCAATGGAAACCATGAGAGAATGGTCTGGAACCAAATCTGAGAAAAGGCAAGCATGCAGAGTTCCACAGACTTTCCGATGGCTGGTGCCCCAGCCTGCGGGCGCCTGGGGGGCGGGCAGATTGGGCAGGAGGGGCCGCCTGGCCGCAAGCGGCTGGCTATGCTGCCTGGGGCCAGCCAGGGTGCGGGGCAAAGGCGGGGGTGCAGGGCGCAGGCAGGGGCCGGGCCACTTACACTTGACCTGCAGGATCTGGTCACTGAGGTTGGCTTGGAGGTAGAAGGTGCTGTAGGGCGGGAGCACTAGCCCTAGGCTGGGGAGGAGGGGATGGGAGGAGCACAGGTCACTGCTGGAGAGAGGCGGGCCCCATTGGCACCCTCCTCCCCACGGCTTTGGAGCTGGGTGAGAGGCCCAGGCTGTGGCATCCCCTCCCCCGACCACCAGGGACACCTCTCCCTGGTTAGCTGTGAGAGATTCAGGGCCTAGGGGCCTGGGCCCTCCACTTCCCGAACTCTCCTGGAGGCCTCAGAACTCCCAGCCCCAAAGCAAATCCCCATCCCACCCCTCGCCCCAGCGGCCTCCCCCAGCACACCACCTGCCCAGCCAGTCTCCTCCAGCTGGCCAGCAGCAGACTCACAGGGGCAGAATACTGTCAGTGAGCTAGGCTGTGGGGATGGGGGTGGGGGTGTTGCCATGAGACCGGGGTCCATAGTCCCCAGAGACTCAGGCCATGTGAGAGCCAGCTAAAAGCAGGGCTGGCACTATCACAGTGAGGGGCAGTCATGGGCTGGTGCTGGAGTGTGAAGGAGACCAGCTCTTGGGGCACGCAGAAGACAGTCAGTACACTCTCTGAGGCTGTGACAACTGCTGAGAGCAGGCTGGTGAACGTGCTGAGGATGACATCCTGCATGCACACATCCAGGGATACAATCCAAGGCGGGAGGGATGTAGAGAGGGTGGTGGGGAATGGGGAGGCATCAGATGCACTGACATGTCTCCACTGTGCGCTCCCAGGAGATGCTGCTTGTTCATGAAGGGCCAGCGAGGGACCCTTGGGACTGAGCACCCAGGAGTGAGAAGTAAGCAGCCCTGGCTGCTGGGGCCCCACTGGGATCGTGGTCACAGCCGCTGAGAACTGGCACACGGGGGTGGGGGAGGGAGGGGCAGCTAGGGCTCTGGGGCTGCCCTGCCCCTCCCTGCCTGCCCAGCCTGGCTCCACTCACCTGTAGTTGGTGCTCCTTATAGGCACCCAGGTGTAGTTCCGCATCACCTCGTCTATGTACCTCTGGGAGAAGAGGCTGGGTCAGGTGCTTGGGGAAGCAGGCTGGGGTGGAGTGGGGGGTAGGAGGGTGTCCACCCTGACCTTCTGTCCCCCTTCTGCCACCTTCTCACCTCATCCAAGGACTTGACCAGCGTTCTGATCTGTTTGTGGCCCTTGTTGCCATCGATCATGCTCCGACGGATCTGGAAGGGTCAGAGACGTGAAGGGTGGGGCCCCTACCCTTCTCTGCTCTGGATGCCCGCCCCCATCCCTCCTCCTCTTCTTCTCCTTACCTCCTCCTTGTTCTCATCCTCCAGCTCTGCATCCAGGAAGTCCAGGGTCACAGGCTCCCGGAAGTTGGTGGTCTAGGGGAGGCAGGGCAGGAAGTCAGGACCTTCTCTCACAGGGTTTACCCCCCATCTGCAGGCCACCCATCTGGCTCACCTGGGGCTTGAGGTTGGGATGCAGCAACACGTAGCCATTCAGGTCAATGGCAAACACGTAGCCGTTGGCTCCAAGCTGGGGGTATAGATAGAGGAGCTTAGGGCCTGGAGAGTTGGGCAGGGATTTCCTGGGCTCCAGAGCTCTTCCTCATCCTGCCTCCCACGCTGCTGGGGGGTGCCATCTGCCTTCCTGGGTCAGGGACCCCAACATGTCGCTCGGCCCCAAGCCTACCTCTCAAGCCAAGCCCAGCAGGCTGGTGCCCCTCATGCACTAGCCCTGGCCCATGCTGGCCAGCTCTGTGGGACCTTAATGTGATTTGGCCTTCTCAGCCCCTCCCCCGGGTTCTCATGGCGCCATCAGTCAGCGGAACCTCTCCACCTCCACTGGCCCCACAAGGCTGCTGTTGCCCTCCCCTCCTCTCCCCACTACGGCCTCTTCTTGGTCCCCATCTTGGTAGACCGCAGGGGGACGAGTGTACCCTTGGACTACCTGGGGTGTTCCTTCCAAGTGTAAGGGAAAGAAAAGCAGGACTCTGGACTCACCCCTTAGCTCTCTGAGGCAGTTTTCTCACTGCACATGGAGGCCAAAGACTTGGGGCCTTCATGTGGCTCAGGTTTAAGCATGCTGATACACATCTCCCAACCTTTTCACAACCAAGTCCCAAACTCTCTTTGCCATAGGCCCTGGGTCAGCCACACTGATCTGGCCCCTTCCCTGGCTTATGATTCTGTTTTTCACCTTCAGGCCTTTGCCCAGAGAGTTCCCTTTGCCTCCAAGGTACGCCTTCACCTCCTTTCTACCCAGGACACTCCTGCCTATGTGACGGACCTGGGGTCGACAAACTAGGGCCCATGGACCACATCTGGCCCGCTGCCGGTTACTGTACTGCTGTGAGATAAGAATGGTTTTTACATTTTTAAATGACTGAAAAAGAGGGATTTCTATTTCATGACTTGTGAAAATTATTTGAAATCCAAATTTTAGTATCTACAAACAAAATTGTATTGGAACATAGCCATGCCCATTTATTTATGTTTCGTCTCTGGCTGTTTCCTCAATGCAGTAGAATTGAGTATGAGTATTTAGGCTGGCAGAGACTAAAATATTTATAATCTGGCCCTTTACAGAAGTTTGCTGATCCCAGTTTTGGGCCCAAGATCACCTCCTCTGGAAGCCTTCCCTGACCGCCTGAACTCGGAGAACTCCACAGAGGTGTGGGAATCCTCATCAGCCTCTGCTGAGCCTGGCTTGTGTCCACAGGAGAGGCGGAACAGGGAGATGGGCAGGTAGACACTCACCGTGTAGTTGGGAGTCAGCCTCTTGATGTCATTCAGAGCCACGTCAATGCCCATCACGCCCAGGATCAGCTGGTTCTGGGAGCAGAGGCAGGGGGTCTGCAACAGGCTCAATTCCATGGGGGGAGCCACCGTGCCCAACTGCCCATGCCCATGGCCTCAAGCTGCTCTCAAGCTGCTGCCCCTGTCCCGTTTAGAGGCCTGCCTATCCGCGCTCCATCCCAGACCTGTTTTGGGCATGCACAGCTCTCCCCAGGCATGACTAGCCCTTCCCCAGTGGGGAACCTCACCTTCTTTTCCCCAGGGCCATCCTGCGTCAGGTTGAAAACAGGGAGGGTCCCTGTCACCACCAACCCCAGCCCCTGAAGGGAGAGGAGGAGGATGGGTCAGACTCCTGTGGCCAGCCATGCCCCCACCCTGAGTGTTCAGAGCAGGGGTGTGGGGACAGGCCACCTCTCTTTCTCCTCTGTTTGGTTTACCACCATAAGGGGGCCCGCATGGGACCTGACCCTGTGGGCACATCCTGGGGGGAAGGTCACCAGCCCCACCCCTTCCTTGCCCTGAGGCCTTACCAGTGCATCCTCGTACACGTTGGTCCATTGAACCTGCTTGGCCTCCTTGCCCGCCAGCACCATGGGCCTGCCCAATACATCTAGATATTCCTGGGGAGGTGGTGGGGGCAGGGGTGGGGCGTCATGAGTCTGCCCCTCCCACTGTATCTTCCCTGTCCTGCCTCCCCATGTGTCAATTAGCCACCAGGGGGCGCTCTCATCACACAGCAGCCCATGGTTCCCACGACCCCGCGAAGCAAAGACAAGGGGCTGGGAGCAGGGGCGCCCCCACAGTCTCACCTGCGTGTTGATGCGAATGGCACCGATGGAAGGGATCTCAAAATAGTAACCTGTGAGGGAAGGGGAGGCAGAGGTGGGCCTGGGTGCTGCTTGGGATCCATGGCACAGGAGGCCCTGTACCCTGGGGTGTGTCTGCAGCCCTGACTGGTCTCTTAGGTTCCCTCTCTTTTTGGTGTCATTTCCTCTGAACTCATGTTCCTTTAGTGCTCCCTGCCATTACCCTGTGAATGGGACCAATGACATGGAAGGGGCTGTGAGTGTAGGGGTTTAAGGAAGCAGAACTGGGATGAAAGGAGGAGCCTGAGGCCTGAAGTCCCTCATTCTAGGATGGCAGTGACATTCAGAGTCCACCTGGAGGCCAGGCCCAATTGCATGGAGAGTTGGATTGACCAGAAAACAGATGCAGGAGCAGACAAGCTAGGGACAGATGAACAATGGACAGTCAGATAGGTGGAAAGAGGCTGAGTCAGATGGACAAGTTAGCCACATAGAGAGATGACCAGTCACATATACAGAAAGACAGACACTGGATGAACAAGCAGCTGGAAAGCTGGACATATGAAGGACACGTGGACAACCAACCCAACGGATTGGCAGAACACGGCAGGCAGGCCCTGTGGCAGTGACACCCGGACAAGGTACCTTTGTTGGTGCACGCCATCCACTGCAGGGGTGTGACGTCATAGTTGTGCTGCCCCACGGAGAAAGTAAACACGCGCACCTGTTTGGGGCTTGAGGTTACTGCCGTGGCCGCCAGAGGACAGCCCTCCCCTGTACCGGGCCAAGTCAGGGCAGCCCCCACCTGGGCTGAGCCTCACCGTCCGGTTGGGCCAATTGTACTTCTCAAAGACGTCCTGTACGCGGTCCTCACCACCGTCCGTGAACATCATGATCATCTTATTGCAGTTGGCACGAGTGATGTTGGACTGGGCAGGAGTAGGTGTGGGGTCAGGCAGCTTTCAGCCCCTCCCTGGTCCACAGGTGGGTCTCCTTCCCCGGAATGGGCCTGGCCCTCTGGCTCCCCTACCCCACAGTTGACAGTGCTATCTGCCCAACCTACCTGATGGGTGCTAACAAGGTCATCTATCTTGATTTCCCTGGTGTCACCAAGCCTGGGCCCTTGCCTGTCCCTGGCCACCCGTTCGCCCACCCAGGGGGCTCACATTCTGCAGCTGATCGAAGGCATACTCAAAGCCGGCCTTGTAGCCTGTGGTGCCCTTGGCCACCATGCCCTGCACAGCTTCCTTGAACACCTTCTTGTTACGCACGTTGGCCTGAACCAGGTGTGTGAAGCATGACACAGGCTGAGCCTTTTCATTGAACTGCAGGGACAGTGAGAGTGGTGAGTGGCCTCAGGCTGGCCTGGGCAGGCAGGGGTTGCATGGGGCAGGAGGGAGTGCCCGCCTACCGCCCTTGCCACTCACGGAGGCAACGTTCACATAGTCATCATCAGAGAGTGTGTCCAGCATCTCACAGACAGATGTCTTCATCAGCTTCAGGGTCAACCCGCTCACGCTGCCACTCCTGGGGGGTGGGTCACGGAGGCGCCTGGTCGGCCTCAGGTGTTCTCCTGCTGCTTCCCCACCATGTTCCCCAGAAGCAGATTCTAGTCCCTAGCCCCGCCCCCACCCCACCCGCCAGCATCGCTCACTCACACATCCACGATGATGACCATGTCCTTGGGCGACGAGGCCCCCTGGATATACCTGCCCAGGAGAAGCCTCAGTTAGGGCCAGCCTCACTGAGACCTTGTGGGTTCTTCCTTCCTTCACCCACATACTGATTCAACATGTTTCTTTTTTTTAATTTTTTTTTTTTTTTTCGGTACGCGGGCCTCTCACTGCTGTGGCCTCTCCCGTTGCGGAGCACAGGCTCCGGACGCGCAGGCCCAGCGGCCATGGCTCACGGGCCCAGCCGCTCCGTGGCATGTGGGATCTTCCCGGACCAGGGCACGAACCCGTGTCCCCTGCGTCGGCAGGCGGACTCTCAACCACTGCACCATCAGGGAAGCCCAATTCAACATGTTTCTATTGAGCATCCATGGCATGGGTCAGACAGGGTTCTAGGCACTGAGGACACCGCATTTAATAAAGCAGACAGTCCTTGCCCATGGCATGAGTGACCTGGTCCCCCAACATGTGAACAACCCCAAGGAGGGGTGAGCAGGTGATCCAGAGAGGCTAGGAGGCCTGTTTCATGGCCTCAGTGGCTTGTCATTTCCCCTGGCCCAGGCTGAGGCACCAAGAGCAGAGTCATAGCTGCGTATGGGATTGAACAGGTGGCAGAGGAGGAGGCCAGGGAGTACTGCAGGAGAGGCAGAGCAGAGGGTAGGGGTGTCTAGGGCTCAGATGGGTACAGCAGGGGCTGGCCAAACCCACAGAGGACATACCCACCCTCAGGAACCCCCACTAGCCCAATCCCTCAGTCCCGAGGGGGTGGAGTGCCGGGCAGTGGACGGGGGGCAGAGGCAGCTGGGAGGCCTGCCTGGGTGATGGGATCCATTTTCCAGTGGCAACGATGTGTGAAATGAAAATTGGATAGAGCTGGCTGCACCCTGCTTGGAGGCCTGGTTATCGGGATGGAGGGGAGCAGGCGGGAGAGCTGAGGGGGTGTCCCTGCCCAGCCCCTCCTTGCTTGCTCACCAGGGTCTCCTTCGGACATCGTACAGGTCGATTTTCTTGGGGGCTCGCCATGGGGTGGCTGTGGGAGGAGAGGAGGTGACTGGGGACAGGCAGAGAAGGGCCTTGGGCTGGTAGCAGGCCTTGCAGCAGTGGCCAGGCCACCCTGCAACCAGCAAGGTGACCGTCCCGCCCCACGCACCCCAGGATGAGGGGGCGGGGAGATGGAGGAGGGTGGGGTGCTGAGTGGACTGGGGAGATGGGCTAGTGCTCACCTGGATAATAGCGAGTGACTCCCGTGGCACTGCCGAAGACCTGCCACAGGAGTGTGGGGTCCTGCCTGCGGTTCTCAATGAATACATTCTCCAGGGCCTCCGTCCAGTTGAGCTCATTGAGGATGACGGTGGCTAGGGGGGAAGCAGAGGGCTGGGGTGGGAAGCGCTTCGGCTGTTCCCGCGCTGAAGCTCATCACAGCGACACCCATGCATGTGCCTCTCACTTAGAAAGCCTCACCTGCTCTCTGCCTACCCAGGTCTCCCTCACTTCCCAGGGCTCAGCTGGGGCTGCACCAGCTCCTCCAGGAAGACATCCTTGTTCTCATCCCAAGAAACAGCTCAGCCTGCCCTTCGGCCAGGCTCCACATGATCAGGCAGGGCAGCTGTGGCCTGTGGCCCCTGCGGAGGGGCCACCCAGGTGGCAGGGAGCTATGAGCTGGGATGCCCATCCAGCCTGCTGCCTGGAGCTTGCGGCTGGTCCCCTGGGAGCTCACCCACTCAGCATGCACTCCGGGCTGCAGCCACAAGAAAGCAATTAAGGGCTCAATGATGGTGCTGGAATTATTCAGCTATTAAGGTACCTGATAAGCTGGAAGCCACTCAGCTCCATGATTAATCAACTGGGGCCAGGAGCAGGCAGGGGTGGGGGCGGGGGATCTCGGAGGGACACGGGCTGTGCAATGATCCTGCTGCAACACTGGCACGTGCACTCCCACACACACACACACACACACACACACACACAGCCTGCGCTTGTATACTGCATGCAGGTATACAACAGGTGTACCTACATCTAACCTCTGTGTCTCCAGCTGGATGTGTCATCCCCTCACCCCCAAACCTACCTGCCCAGCAGCCTCACTGCTGCCATGGGCACAGGGTCACACATGCTCATACCTACACACCACTCTGCCCTTACAGGAGGACACCAATGGGTCCTGCTTTCACAACCCCCCACCACAAGTTACCCCACCCTCCCCCTCCCTCAACCTCTGTGGCTGCACAGGTGTGACGCCCTGGCCAGACCTAGCCCCCCACACACAGAGCAAGGCTTCTCTCAGATGGATGGACTCCATCCATCCGGCAACCCGGGCAGAGACTTGGGATGGCTTAAGCAGTATGCAGCCCCCCAACTCAGGACAGCCCTAAACCTGCCCAATGTGTGTGTGTGGCACATGTTCTCACATGTGCAGTGTACCTGTCTCTGCGTGTGGGAAACTCAGAAGAAACAGCAGGAGTTGGATACCTGCTACTGCCAGGCCTCTGTATCGCACCCCCTCCCCTGGGGGCTACTTCTTCCTCCAACTTCTCCCACCTCCTTTCTTTCCGGGTGGAGCCCTGACACCATCACCTCTCCCTGAAGATCCACTCCCCAAACGGGAACCAGAGCACGTCTTCCAAAGGCTCTGCTCTTCTTTTCAGAGAAGAAACCCTTAGAACAGATGAAGAGCTGTGATTTATTTTTTACTTTATTTTATTTTTTGGCTGCGCCGCCTGGCATGCAGGAGCTTAATTCCCCGACCAGGGATCGAACCCATGCCCGCTGCAGTGGAAGCGCAGAGCCCTAACCACTGGACCGCCAGGGAATTCCCAGAGCTGTGATTTAAAGATACAAATGCTCCAGGCTCGGCCCACAGCCTAGGGGGTGACAATATATTCTGGGGCATTCTTCCCTCTGCTCTCTCTCTCCAGACTGGGGGGCCTCTGCTGTCTTGTCTGCTGCCTAGTCCTCCCCCTCTGCTCTCACTCCCTTCTCTCTGGCCCTGCAGCTTCCCTTAACTGACCATAATGTGAAAACAAAACACATTTCTAGCATTGGCTGTGCCTACTGAACAGTATGTTATGGTCCCGTTCCTAATTTAGAAACTTAGTGAGTTGTACAATTTCTATTTTTCTCTTTAAGGAAAAAATAAAGTCAGGCTCTCAAATGTTTCACACAGTACTGTCTGCCGTGGGAGAGTCTGCCTGGCAGGTCCCACCCCTCACTGGACCTCAGTTTCCCCATCTGCACATGAGAGGCTTAGAGCAGACAGACCATTCTGGGAGCCCCTCTAGCTGCTGCTGGCAGAGGGGTGTCCCTGACTCAGGTCAAGGGCCGAGAGGAGACCTGGCTGGGCTGTCCCTTCAGGTAGCCATGACCACATGCACGCTCACGCATACACTGTGAGACACGCTTGTGCACACACTACAGCCCCCCACCTGGAAAGGGCGTGCTGCTCAGCCCTGTGACCACACACACACACTCATGTGCCCACACCCTCAGATCACACTAAGCTTGGAAATGGGGACCATGCCCCCCTCAGGCAGGCGATTACAGATTTAATTAAAAGTGACACAGTAAATAAAAAACATATAAAATGTAATTTGTGTGGGTAGCGAGGGGTGACTGGGGAGGGCGGTGTGGTTCCTGTTTTAATTAGCGTGCCTGCCTGTGATAGTGCCCCTCGACTGGCTCGGGCAGGTGGCCTGTGGGTGGCCCTTGTAGGGTGTGGGGGGCATCCACCCTCACTCCTGCCTGAGGCTGCCCAGAAGGCCCAGGAGGGGCCTCCCTGAGAACCCTGGAGGATTCCCTGCTTTCTGAAGTCCACGCAGAAGTTCTGGGACCTTTGCTTCAAGAACCTCCACCCAGTGGGCCCCTTGGATTCTGAGGCTACCCTGTCGGTGCTCATAGAATTGTGTCAGAACCAAGAGACTCCGGGGCCTTAAATCCTGCAGCTAGAGTTCCCCATTCAGTGTTTGACTCTTGGCCTCTTCTCCCTACACCTCCCAAGTTCTTCAGGAAGTTCATCCTGATGTCTGACTCAAATCCTTCTAGCTGTAGTGACCTGGTTTCCCCATTGTGCAAAGCTATACTGTCCCTGGAGCTTGGCATCTCAACCACCCTCTACTCAATCCCCCTGACCTCCATCTCCACCTCCCCCTGCTCACCAGGGAGAAGGAGGGAGGTGTTACAGGGTTGGTGTCTGTGAATGAGAAGTTGCTCCCTGTCCTGTGCCCATCTGATGTGGTAGGTCCTCAACCCTTCCTGCATGGGGCCAGGGAATGGGAGAGGGTAGGGAGGAGCTGCTCTGGGGACAGGTGGGGACTTGGCCCAGCACGTGGGGGAAGAGTTGTGTGCATGCATTTGTGTGAGCCCGTACATGCATAGGGGTGAGAGGCTCGGTGTTTTGTGTCTTGCTGAGAGTTAGCGTGAGGCTGTGCCTGAGAGTGGCTTGAGGCCTGCATGTGGGCAGGTCTGAGAGGTGAGCGTGTGTGACCCTGGGTGTAGGGGGCTGAAGGTGGATGGGCACCTGGGACCTGGCAGTGCCCAGGCAGTGGGCCTTGCCCCCACGGTGGGTGGGAAGGGCTGCTCCCGATCACTCTGCACACTCACAGCCTTTGTAGATGTCCGTGGGGATCTGCACAGCCGTGTATGAATAGTTGACCTTGTTCTTGAAGTTCGAGTCCTCAACGAAGTCCAGCCGTAGGGTGCTGGCCTTGGACCCCCTTTCCACATCCTCACTCTCAGGGTCGTCCTGTGGAAAGGGACCCCCCAACCATGGCAGTGTCAGGGCTGGGAAATGGTGGAGTGGGGTTGGATAGAACTGCAGGCAGGGGGGCCAGAATCTAGGAGATAGGGGCATCTCAGAATCAGAGACTACTGCAGAGACAGAGAGATGGAGAGACACAGGGACAGAGAGACATGGGGTATGGACCCCTTGCCTGGAAAGCCCGTGACACCCACCTGCCCCACCCACCATCCCCACATTTGCTAAACCCAAATTCCAGAGCCAAGACCAAACCAAGCCCTTCCTCACATCCTTGAAAACCAATTATCAGCGAAGGAGGCAAATCTTGGAGCTAGAGAGGAGTGGGCTGCAGACACCCTGCTCATGAGGACTTGCTCTGTGTAATCACAAGGCGGCCTCAGCACCCCGTCACAGGAGCTTTGCAACATACACGCCACAACTTGGTCCCACCTATCCCCTGCATGGAGTTCCTTTGGCACCAAGGAGAGGGCCCTAGCCCCGTCTGGGGGAGGGGCACCACCCCCTGCAGCAGGGTGGCTCTAGGGGCTGAGTTGGAGAGCGGGGAGTCCGTGGGAGAGCTGGGCTCGGGTCGGGGCTAGCACTGAGACCTGGTAACATCCAGAAGGAGGGTGTGTGGTGCCTGCTAGCAGAAGGACTATAAAGGCCCCCACTGACTTTCTAAAATGAGTTGCAGCCGTCTGACAGGTGCCAATTACAGCATCTCTCGGCCAGGCAGGCTGGGCATGCGCCGTGCGCCCCTGCCCACCACCACAGGCTGGCAGGAGTGGGTCTGCGACTATAGTGTTGATGCCGCAGCCGAGGTGGGGGGTGGGCAGGCACGGGTGCAGGTGTGCAAGGGGGAAGGGAAGATGGAGGTAGAAAGTGAAGGGGAAGATGAAGAAAAGCCAGATGGGGAGGCAAGGAGAGATGGAGAGCCACGCGAGGTAGGCGCAGAGCTGGGGGTCTTTGTGCCCTGGGAGGAGGGAGTATAAGCAGCTGAACCAGCCACATGTTCCCTCGCTGCCCCTCAACGCCCCTGTGACCACCTTCAGCACCAGGCTCAGCTCATTTCCTCTCCCCAGTGGATCTCACGTGACGGCCGACCCCACTGCTCACTGGGTCCTGGTCACACCCCTCATGTTCCTGCCGCCAGGCTGTCTGTCTGGGGAAAGGGTGATCGTGCCTCCCCACCCAGCCAGCTGTGCTCTCCCCACCCAGGGAGTGCTCTGGGTGCACCCTCAGGCCTGGGGAATGAATTACTGCCTGGATGGTGGGTGCAGCTGGCTGGAGGGCCTGCAGCAAACACCCTTTTCATCTATCTCTTCATTGGATTTTGTAACAGCAAAATCCAAGCCATCTACTGCCCTGCCATTGCCCCTCACCCAGAGTGCCACCCCTCTGCCCACCTCGGCACACCCTAGCCTCCTAGAAGCTCCTGGATGCTGGGTAAAGCTGGGGCAGGCAGCTGCTGAGCATGGAGGCCAGAGCAGGGAGCCGGCCGCCCCTGAGGTGTGAGCCACTCACGTTCTGCTGGGAGGAGGGGAAGTGCGGAAGAAGAAAGCCCCCGAAATGTCAGCGGCAGATGAAGGGCGCTGGAAAATTTAATCTCCCAACTTTCCCAACTAATGTGACATTTGGATTCTGTTCTGATAAGCTATCAGCTGGCGAACTTTTTCCTTCCTTCTTTCCCTCCCTACCCCCACCTTCTGGCTGGTAATTTAAAAGTAAATGGTCTAGAAAGATCTCTAACTGTACCTCTGGCAAAGATTAAAAAAACAAAACAACGTAACAGGCAGGAGAGTTGGGGAATGTGTGCGTGCTGATATTTATACTGGGGCTGGGAGGGCTGGGATTTTGGCCTAACTGACCCTGGCCCAGCCCCACCCGGGGTGAATCTCCCTCCCTGTGCTGTCCCTAGCCCCCCAGCAGATGTCCAAGGGGCTGGGGGCAGGGAGTCAGTGATTTAGAGCCAGGAGTTGGGGGCTGCTGGGAGCAGGGAGTCCAGGGAGGGGGCCGGGCACCAGACTGGCCAAGGAGACCCCTCAGTGTCACCCCGACGCCCAGGGGCTTTGTACGGTGGGCAACTGCAGTCTCCTGGTTTATATTTAATGCACTGATTGCTAAAATTACAGCCCGCTGCTGAGGGGGGTAAGGAATTAGATTCAGGGTCTAATTAAAGGTTTGTTCTTCATTTGAATTTCAGATTCCAGCTTTAATTTTAGCAACTTCTCTGGGAGCCACGGAGGCTCAGCCAAGGGGGAAGCACACCTGCTTTAGCCCACCCACCCCGCCTTCTCTGCGGCCCTGCCTGCCTGCCCTCCTGACGGCTCACCAAGGCCAGCCTGGCACCACAGACCCGCTGCAGGAATCCCTTCCTGCCTGCCCACCTCTTGGTGCCACTGGCTACCTCCTGCTCGCCCCAGGCAACCCCCCAGGCCAACAGGCCCAGGAGTGGGAGCCTAGCTGTTGGGTCTTCTGCACCAGTCAGCACAGGTGGGGCCCCAGAGACTGAGTTGTGACACCTCTGTTTACAGAGGAAATAACCAGGTTCAACTACTTTTGCCTCAAAAGCAGGCAGATGAATTTGGGCCTTGACAGGTTCACCAAAACAGTCTGTTCCATGTGCCCTGCACCCTCAGACACTCTTGTCTCCTCTGTAGACCCCCTCACACCCCAAATGGTCACACTTTCACGTGAGTCCTCTGGTGACAGGGACCTCTCTCTGTCACAGGGCCACCCAAGCAGACGTGAACCAGACAGTGAGGCAGAAGAGCAGTGTAGCTCTGGGTTCTCCGGTCAGTCCCAGCACCACCACTTCCGGGGTGGTGACCCCTGATGAGTCAGAACCCTCTCCTTCATCTGAAGAACAGGCACAGGGACTGGGCTGCCTCTACAGCTGGGGTGAGACTGACTTAGCCCAGGGCCAACACTGATCATGGGGCCAGGCCGTGGGGTGGTCAGCACGCGGAAGCCACTTTCCCCTCACCACAGGGAAGGGTACCTGCACTCACCTGAAACACACCTGCATCCCGGCCCCGCCTGCCTACCTCCAGGAAGCCCTCGCCACCTGCTCCCTCTCTCCCCTACTCTCGCAGCACTCAGCATCCCTCTGTCCTCCCGATGCTGGTACTTGAACTGACCTAGGGGAGGAGGTCCAAGAGCCTCACCACCCTGCCCAGGGATGGGGCTGGGCCCGCCCCACACTGTACAGTGAAGCTGTGCCCCTTGGTGCCACAGAGACATGGCCCTGGAGGGGTCAGGGCCTCTAGGGAATTGTGGGAGGTGTAGGGCGGGGACCTGTGCACCACAACTCTGCAAGGCCAAGCTCAGAATGCTGAAGAGTGCTGAATCCTAACACTCATTTTACAGCTGAGGCCATGAGGTCCCAGAGAGGGGGGTGTGGCTCTGGCAGCTCCCCATCCCTGCCAGCATGGGTGGGGGCACTTACCAGCTCAGCGTCGGCCTTGGCGTCATAGTACACTATGTCTTCCTCCTGGTGGGGAAGAGATGCCTCATCACTCATGGTCGCCTGAGGTGCGGCCAGGACCCCCAGCTCTAAGGCCTGGAATGGCCCCCTCAGATTCCTCTGGGGCAGAGACCGCCCCCTTACCCATCCAGAGCTGCCATCCAGGGAGGGCTGGATGAGGCAGGCTGGATGCCCCACCCACACCCCAGCCAGACCGTCCTCAGGAGCTCTCACAGGCACCAGGAGGATGTGGTACCCCGGGTCGGTACCCCTGGGGCTCCCTGACTCTAGGATCAGGGTCTCTGCACTGCAGCCCTGCTGGGAGGTAGGGTTAGAGCCAGCCTATCTGCCGAGACTCTGGCTGAGGCAGTACCAAGGGAGAATTGAGGAAGATGGAAAAATAGAGCCGAGTCTGGGAAAGAGTGAAATAATGACTCGACACCGCATCTTCCAATTTCTTCTATTAAAAAGCCTGCTCATTACGAGCATGTACTTATTAATTATCTGTGATTTGTTGTGAAATGCAAGGGGGTTTACACAACAGGAGCGGGAGAAAACAAAGCCCGGCCCCTGTGCCTGCCTCCCAGCCCTCGCCTGCCTTTGCTAGCACCGCGTGTCCTGGCCTGGCCCGCCTGCCCGCCGCCTGGGTTCTCAGCCATCTGCACATCATAATCACCGGCCACCCCAGGGACCCGTAACACAAATGGGCTAATTTCATGTTTAATGATCTTTAATCAGAACTGAGCATGGCTGACAGCGGCTGCCAGAAGGTAAATCTGGTGCCATCAGGTGCCACCCGCTCAGGAGGGGCCACCCCACCCCTGCCTTGATAGGCCCTAAGGCCAGGACACAAGATAGGGCCACTGTCCGAGTCACCCTCCCCTGGTGCTCCTCAGCCCTGTTTTGTACAGCAAAAACCTGCAGCATGGCCCCGGAAGTCCCTTGTTCACTGGGAGCCTGTTTCTTTGTGGCCTGCAAATGGGGGTGATGACCAAGTGTGCTCCCAAGGGTCTGGCTGTAAAACAGCAAGCACAGAGCCAGCACTTACTCCATGGTGGGCCTCCCCTTGCCTGGGCCTGGCTGGGCCCCATGTGCTGTGTGATCGCAGGGCTGCACTGTTCCCTCTCTGAGCTCAGGCTCCTCATGGAGGGAGGGACTTAGCCTTGGTGACTGTCCAGGTGCTGGGTCTGAGGCCACGGTTTGAGGTGGTCGGTACCGGGGCTAGTCGTGGGGAACAGTCATGGGTTCTCTCCCACCAGAGGTCTGGGGGGTGCAGGCCACTGGCTGGACCTATGGGTATAGTCCAAGCATTCTGGAACATTGACTACAGGCCTGGCGCCATGCCTGGGCAAGACCACACCTCCTGATGACTGAAAGACCAAAGTTTCAGTCCTGTGAGGTATCTGCTGTGTCCAGCTAGGCCTCACACGCACTGCGGTACAGGGTTCTCCCAACAGCCCTATGACCCCGTTATACAGATGAGGAAGCTAAGGCAGGGATAAAAAAGGCGTTGCACCCTGGCTCCATTCTGCCTTCTCGACTCATCTCCAACCCCTCCCACACCTGCCCAACCACCAGTCCAGAGAGACTGGAGCTCAGGTGGGCCTGGGGTGGGGGTGAGGGCCGGGGCCCAGGCTCCAGGGTGCTCAGCCTTTCCCTGGGCCCAGCTCTGACCCAAGCGCGTAATGAAAGCTGACATTACATCAAACACAATAAGGAGTTTCGGTTGATGAAGATCATTCCTGAACACACAAACCTATTAAACCGAGGGGAAAAAATATCAATTCAACACAGTCGCTGGCGAAAAGAAAATGTGATTTGTTATCTAAAAGGGGGTTATAAACACGGCTCTGATGCTCTTTCCCTCTGTAATGAAAATAGGCAGGCACAATGGGAGGACTGCAGATTAGAACATAGGGCTTCACTCACCAACTTTTTAGGCAAATCTTCTGCAAGGGCGGGAAAGGGCATGGGTGATGGGTAGGGGTCGGTGGCTCTAGGCCTCCAGAGTGACCTTCACAGTGACCCTCCTCTGGGCTCTCCTCACAGACCATGCCTGGGTCCTGCCTGACCTGGGCTGTCCCTGGGACACCTGGCATTCACTTGGGCCACCCGTCCAGCTACTCTAATGGCTCCCTTTGTCCTGCTGTTTCATGGACTCAGTGGAGGATGAGATGTTGGTGGCATCAGCGACACAGGGGGAATGTATCACACAGAAGGATTCTAGCCCCCCACTTCAGACTGCAGGTGAGGCTCAGGAATCTGTATGCAGTCTTGGTGCCCCAGGGACTCGGATACACGTGGGCAGGACTCCTCCCTACCTCTCCCATCTTGAGAGGGCCCATGTCCCTTCCTTGGTAGAGAGTGGCATTAGCTATGGATGGTGGCAGGCACGGTCACATGTGTGAAAATACATTGTAAACCCAGCTGTGGTCACTATGTTTGATATGATGTGGAGCTGGGGACGGGGCAGGATGGGACCATTAGGGTCTGGTAGGAGGGTCCCTGGAAAGGCCTCTGTGTCTGCTTTGGGCTGCAGGTGCCCCAGTGTCCACCACTAGTGCCCTGTCTCTGGGACACAACAAAGAGGTGGTACCACCTAGCGATTATGTGCAGGGGACTTGGCAAAGGGTCCTGGCCTCAAATCCTGACCTGAACATGTGAGCTCTGGGATCCTGAGCAGTGAGTGAAGACTGAGGCTGAAGCCTCACAAGTCCCTGTGGCCCCTGAGGACTCCTGGAGGTCACCTCCATCTCACCGATGAGGCAAGGGTGCCTGCTAAACCCTTCAGCCTCAGTAAGGCTTTACCTCAGGGTTTTGACTTTCCACTTGTAAAATCAGAATGATGATGCTAGGACAGGGAGTGAGGCCTCTCCAGAGGTTCGGGACAACCCAACCCAACCCATGAGTGGCCCCCTTAAGCTTGTAACTTCACAGGCCCGGGAGGGGTCTGAATGTGGAAGAAACCCTCTGGTTGGGGTGAAACGTGTGTCCTTAACGTCCAGGGTACACACCTCTGACACCCCCTCCATTACGTGGTATTTTAGGGGCCATTTTGCACAAACTGGGCAGGGAGTGGGGGGAATCACCCCCTCTGAACTCACACACATGCCTCCCCGCAAAGTGGATTTCTGTGCATATATGACACATGAGGAGTGGGGCTAGGGGGCCCACACGGCCCTTGTATAGATGACACACACACTCTCCTTAGCTGCAGCTGAGCCCAAGAGAGAGCATGAGGGATGCTGGCAGGTGGGCAGCAGGGTGAGGAAGTGAGAGTGGGGTGAGCATGGGGAATAGCAATTGGCAACTACGTTTGGTGCCATGGAAGGCGGCTGCTGTGGCTTGGTCAGACCTGACTGCCGCTTGCTCACCAGGCCCCTGTGCAGGACCCAGGCAGCTACCCGGCTGCACCAGCGAGGACGCTTGGCCTTCCTGCCCTGGCTCACTGCCAGCCCAGCTCAGCCAACAGGACTGTTTCTGAGAGAGCCGTCTGTCGCCGGCTTGGCAGAGAGGCAGGCAGCAGGCCCTGTGGCTGGGGCAGACCTCGGGCCGGGGAGCCACCTGTCCTGTCCAGCCGGCTCCTTGGCCTGGCCCAGCCTTCGCAGCCTTCTCTTTAGGTTCCCAGGCAGAGCTATGTCTCCCATTAGACTCCCAGGGCAGGGCTTTGTCTCCTGCAGGCCCTAGGGCTGGCACTGAGGCCCTGGAACCAATGGCCTCTCCTGCCTCCCCGACCCATGCCCTGGCCCAGTTCCTCCTTGGTGGCCGTCTAGATAGCAGATAATGCTGGCACAGTGAGGTGCTGGCACCAGGCACAGTGTCCGGCAGGCGGGCCATCTTCATCCACCCTAAGTGTTATGGGCACCAAAGCACCTGCTGCCTGTCTACAGCGGCCATGGGAGGTGCTGCCTGCTAACAAGGGCCGTGGTGTCCAAGGGCTGCAGCCAGGGCTGTGGCTACAGGTTCGCTACCCTTGCCATGGCAAGGAGTGTGGGGTCATGACCTGGGAGTAGGGAGAGGAGCACGGCTTCACATCTAGATATTTTTCCCTCACTCTCTTGTCTCTCTTGACCTTGCAGACTCCAGGATCCCCCAAGTCCCTGGGCTGGTGTCAATGGTGTGATTGTGTGTGTGTGTGTGTGTATGTTTGTGTGTATGTGTGTACACTATTGCCCGTTTCTCAGAGGTCTGCACGCAAACCTACTGTGTGCTATTGACACAGGCAGGGCCACACCCTACTGATCATGTAGTGGATTCCAGTCTGGCCCCATGGGTCAAGGGTTTCCTCTGTGCCCAGAACTGCTGACTGCCATCCTCCCCATCTCAGAGATAAGAAGACTGAGGCCCTGGTCACTCTGTCCACAGGGTACCTGGCTGGGCACATGGACAGGTGATGGGCAGCACTGAGTCAGGCTCAACTGCTTCTGGCCAAGAGAAGCCAGATGGGGCAGACAGATGAGCCCACTGGGCCACTGGCCTGGGGGAGCATGCACTGGGAACCACCTGTGATGGGGGCACCAAAGGCGGGTGCTGTGGGCAGTGGGGGCTAATCCTAGAGTTGTGGCCAGAAAGAGGAGCTCTAGGGAGTTAACTGCAGTGGGACGTGTTGCCCTTCTGAAGGAGGTAAGGGTACTCCTAAGAAGGCCTGGCTTGTGTAAAGGGCCTGAGCTTGTCACTGGGTGTGCTCCTGAATGCTGGGAAGGAACATGACTCCTTATCTGTCACCTCCTGAACGTTGTTGGCAAGGACATAGTTTCAAGGGTGGGTGGTATGCCTTCAAGGGACAAACACCATCCTTTCTGCAGCCTGAAGTCCCCATATCCCCCCTGGCATGGACAGTCTGCACCCTGGCAGCTCTCCCTGGCAGCCCAGGCAGGGCTGGCTGGCAAGTCAGCTAATGGGCCCATCATTAGCACTGATGCCTTTTAGCCCAGCTGCTGGGCAGCTCAGCACTCCTGGGGAAGAGAAGGGCCCTGACCTTGCAGCTGGAAAGGAGGGGGCGCCTACAGCTCCACTCTGCCCAAGATACCTGTGGGACAGACAAACAGGTAGACTAATGGACTGGTGGGGGTGGGCAACAAGCATCAGGCAAACACGGCTGGGCCCAGCTGGCCCTGTGGTCACACCCATAGCTGGGGGCATCTCAGGTCAAGCCAGGGGATGGGGCCAGCAGAGTCCTCTCCTGCCTTAGGACAGAAGCACCCAGAGCCTATGGGCTGGTGTGGCCAGAGATGCACCCATACCATCACCAACTTGCACCTACATGGCCTGATGTGTGGACCGACCCTTTGACACATCACACCTGAGCTGACAGATAGCCCCCCCGACACCAGCTGGTCGTTTGCCAAATGGGGAAACTGAAGCCCAGAGAGGGGTGAGCCCTTGCTGGGTCCCGCAGGGACTGTGACCCAGTGTGCAGGGAGTGGGTCCTCAAGTAGCACCGTCTCAGCATCTCCTGGACACCCTGAGACCTGGGCCTTCCTTCCCGGTAGGCCCCCGTGGTGCCCACCCGGCCTGCGATAAGCCGTTTCTGTCTTGGAGTAGCTGAAAATCAGGGGTCAGGGGTCCAGTAGGATGGTCCTTGGAAATCTTGGGTTTTCTGCAGAGTCAGGGAGAAAAAACCGGTTTGGGGCCGAGGCAGCCTCTTCGTCTTCCTGTTTGGGGCCTACACTGGGAGGGAGAGAAAGCCAGGCCGAGGGCTTTCATTCCCTTATTTCCTGATTCCTTCATTCCCTCTCCTGTGCCTGCTCTGCGTGTCTGTCCTGGGTGGGGAGGGGAGGAAGCAGATACGTCAGAAACAAAAGAAGGGACAGAGCGGGAGCCAAGGGTTCTGGATTCCCAGAAGGTGGAGGGGCTGATGGGCTGGGGAGCAGGAGCAGCCTCACTGGGAAGAGGCAAGACAAGCTGGGCCTCAAAAGGAGGAACGGGGGCTTCCCTGGTGGCGCAGTGGTTGAGAGTCCGCCTGCTGGTGCAGGGGACATGGGTTTGTGCCCCGGTCCGGGAAGATCCCACATGCCGTGGAGCGGCTGGGCCCGTGAGCCATGGCCGCTGAGCCTGCGCGTCCGTGAGAGGCCCGCGAACCGTAAAAAAAAAAAAAAAAAAAAAAAGGAGGAACGGAGGGCATTCTGGGTGGAGAGATCAAGAATGGGCCTGGAGTGAGGTGTTCGGTGTGGCTGGAGCACAGGAGGAGGGGAGGGAGGAGGCAGGTTGACGAGAGAGGCAGGGACAGCCAGATCCTGGGGCCTTGAGCGCAGGCTCAGGCTGGGCATTGCAGGGAGTCGCCAGGGTGAGGTTATTTGCAGGTGGGGGCACATCCAAGTGGCCAGGGAGTGCAAATGGAGGCTGCTGTGTGTATTTCTGATCAAGAGGCTGAGGAGGCACGGTGGCCCAGGGATGGGTTTGTAGTGCTGGAATGGGGAGCGAGAAAAAACCCAGCCCCCAGCTCCCAGGGAGGGAGGATCGGTCCAGGGAGTCGTTAGTTCATTAATGTGTTCACTGTAAACAATCATCTGTTACCCACAACTCCATGTGAGCTCCCTGAGGGCAGCACCCAGCACCCACCAGGCAGCAAAGGAAGAGTGCTATGGTGTGCGCTCAGGGTGGCCTGGGGGGATGGGGACTGGGGAGAAGGAACAGGTTTAGGGGGCCTGCATCATAGGCATGCACCCCCTGGCACCTGACGGCACAGCTGTGAGACTCTGCCCCCAACAGGTGACCTCAGGTAGGTCTAACCACTCTGTGCCTCAGGGTTCTCATCAGTTAAGTAGGGATAATAATCCCTCCTGCCTCCTAGAGGTGCCAGGCTCAGAGCTGGAGTGAGTCAAGGCCTCCCCCGTCCCCCTTATTGGCCCCTGGGTGCCAGGGGGCAGCTCTTGGTGCCTCTCCCTGCATTTAGCACAGAGACCACTGGGAGGCGTGGCCCACATGCCTGAGTGGCTGTGGAGGACACAGCGAGCCCTGCCAACTGGTCTGGTCCCCGAGGGTTCCGTCATCCTTGGCATCAGGGGTTTCCTGAGTCTGGGAGGAACGCTGCCTCAGTCTCTCTTCTGGTTTACTGTTATCCTTTGACAGGAAAGGTGCAGGTGTGTCCAGTCTTGCCCAAATCAAACGCAAGCTGCCTGAATATGTGAGCCACCTGGGTGTGCGGCTGGGCATCAATGAGGCTTTCCTTCCCTCCCCCACATTCTGGGCCCTTCTGTCCTCAAAAAGAGTCCTGCTCCCAGCTTCTCACGCCGCCACTTGCTCCGCGCCCGAGCCCCTTCTGAGCTTTGCTGGCGGAAGGAGAGGATTTAGTGGCTGTGACAGCCTGGTCCCCGATCCCAGCCTGGCAGCCTTCTGGAAGACAGGCTGCTGCTCGGGGAAGTCTGGGAAGGGGATAGGGTCCCTTTCCCCCAGCATCTCTTTCAGGTCAGTGTATTAAAGTCTGGGAAGTCCTGGAGTCAAGAGGCCTCTCTGCCCCAGGGGCTGTCCAAGGAGTCTGTGCACCTCCTTAACCACCAAGGGGATGCCAACTTTTGGGGAGCATCATTTCAGAGCAGCCTATGTGCTCATGGGGGACTCCATAGCTCCTCTGGGAGCTGGGAGTGGAATGAGAGGTTCATATCTGCACCCTGTGTCCCAGCACCAAGGGGAGCCTCAAATGTTTGCTGAACATTGGGCAAAGGTTCCCGGCTCCACCCCACAGAGCCCTTGGTGCCCTTCCAGTGGGTCTGGGCAGCCTCCCTCTCCCTCTTCCCCTGCATGCACATCCACCCTTGCTGCGGGTGGGCAGGTCCTAGGGGCTGGGGAGGGCACCGCAGTTCTTACCTTGATGTTGTCCTGCCAGCGGTGGGCCTTCTGGAAGTTCTCTGCAGCGTCAGCCAATCTCTGAGGGACAGAGCACAGGGAGGTCAGAGACTGAGGAAGGTCTGTGCCCAGCCCAAAGCCTTCTCCATCCCCAGCAGTCCCTGGGGCCAGACTGGCTCAGGGACTCCCTGGACATCGTGCCAGACTCTCAGAGATTCCTTGATCCCAGACATTCTCCAGCTTGCTCTGTGGGCCCTTCCCCCACCCACATCGGGCTCCCACAGGAAAGGTGAAGCCTGCACAGACCTGAGTGGCATCTCCATGGGACTCCCTGGACTTCAGCTCAGCCACATTTCCTGCCCACAGGAAGGCAGGGGGACCCCTGAGGCATATTAAGACCCAGGCCCTGGAGCCAAGCCCACTGACACTCTCTACTAGCTACAAACCAGTGTCACCCCAGCGTCAAGAGGAAGGCCTTCCCCAGCCAAAGAGGAAATGCCACAAGTGACAGAGTGCCTCGCTGATGCACCTTTGCCCCCAGCTTGCTCAGGGCCCAGAAGGAGGTGCCCACAGCCCACCTCTGCCCACCCAGGCCTGTCCCCACTGTCCCTGTCCTGGCTTCCTGAGCCCCCTCCCAGCAGGGCTCTCTAAGCCTTCTGTCCGCACAAGCCTGGTTCATCCTTTGGTGCTGGTTCCTGTGGCCTCCTCCACTGAGGCCCCTGTGCCTGTGAGCACAGCTGCGTCTGTCCATCCCACACCTTGTTACCCAATACACCTAGTGCCAGACTGTGCTGATGTGTGGAGATATGGCAGAGCCAGCCCTGCCCTCCCACAGTTCAGAGGAGAAAACAGACATAACCAGGCAGAATAACTAGGGCAGGACTAGCTGAGGTGCTTTGGGAAGCTCAGCAATGTGGGAACTTGGGAGGTCAGGGAAGGCTTCCTGGAGGAGGTGCTGGAAACTCGCTACCCTTTGGGCCTGAATCCTGACCCAGAGATTCTTACTTTGTGCCTCCGTAGATCCTGTCCCTTTAGGAAGTCTTTTTTTAAAATTAATTAATTAATTAATTTTTATTTTGGGCTGCGTTGGGTCTTCATTGCTGCGTGCGGGCTTTCTCTAGTTGCAGCGAGCGGGGGCTACTCTTTGTTGTGGTGCACAGGCTCCTCATGGCGGTGGCTTCTCTTGTTGTGGAGCACGGGCTCTAGGCACACAGGCTTCAGTAGTTGTGGCACGCAGGCTCAGTAGTTGTGGCTTGTGGGCTCTAGAGCACAGGCTCAGTAGTTGTGGTGCACGGGCTTAGCTGCTCTGCAGAATGTGGGATCTTCCCGGACCAGGGCTCAAACCCTTGTACCCTGCATTGGCAGGCGGATTCTTAACCACTGCGCCACCACGGAAGTCCCCCTTTAGGAAGTTTTGAGGCTCCTGAGGACAGGACTGAGCCTGGCCCTCTAGGGCCTCCTGCAGAGCTGAGTGCAGTGAAGTCCTGTTCATCATAATGATGACTGTCACCCTGAACTGATCATCTGCTGCATCCAAGCCCTCCCCCAGGCCAGGGACACATCACGTGTACCTGTCACCATTCACAACGTGCTTGACATGTCCTCCTCAGATGAAGGTACCCAGCACAGAGGTGGTGAGCAGCCTGCCTAAGGTCACAGAGGAGCTCTGGGTTGGGCTGGGGCCCTCACCACCAAATTTGCCTTGCCCAGCCCATGACCAAAGTCCGAAGGTATGCTCCACAGGGCCCACCATGCCTGGGGAGGAAAAGAGTAGCTCTTGGTGTGGAAGGGGCTCTGGTCCCCAACTCCCCGCCCTATTTGACCCCATGAGTGGAGCAGTAGGGTCCTGCCTTCTGGCCTCCAGCCCCCACTCAGAGGGCCCTGCCCCCTTGGTATTCAAGACAAACACTCCCATCCATCAGTCCAGGCCTGATGGCTTGTGGGCCCAAGAGGGGAAATTCTAAAATAAAGCCTGGCAGCTGCCCACTGGGGGAAATGGGGAGACCAGCTTTTCCTCCCTTCTAGAGTGGAACAGTGTGGTGGGGGCCTGGTGGGACTCCCTGTAGAGCCGCAGCCTCCACTCGCTGGACAGGATGCCACCTCTGGCTGTTAGAAGGGCTGTGCAGAGCTATCCCTACTCCCGCTGGGCCTGGCTCCCCCTCCTCCTCAGGGCAAAAGCACTGAATGCTGGGAAGGCTATGAGGCTGGGGGACCTGGGGGCAGGGTGGGAAAGTCAAACTCCCTCACTTCACATTGCTGAGACCCTCCTGCCACCCCCACCCGTCTTTTTTGCAGGTTTTGTCCTCTGCCCACCTGTTACTGCAGTGACTGCTTGGGTGGGCCCTACCCCAATAATCCAGCTTCAGGAACCATAGGCCTCTCTTCTCCCAGATGGCTCTCAGGTCTTGCCTCCAATCCTGGCCCCTCCTGAGCTCCTGGATACCTTTCTGGGGTAACCCTTAGGCCCACCAGAGCTTACAACACCCCCTCTTAGAATGAGCCCCTCCACCCTGTGACCACTGCCCCTACATCCCACCCTTAGTGTTCTTCACACCACCTTACTGATCATCCCCAGCCCAGGCTCCTGCGTCCTCTCTTGCGCTTCGTCATCCTTCTCCACACAGCAGCTGCAGCCTTCAAAATGTGGATCCTGGGGCTTTCCTAAGGCCCCAGGAGCCCCCCTGTGCCCAACTCCTGCCCCTCCCTTTCCATCCTGGGTCCTCCTCTCAGCCTAAACCACAAACACCCCCACCCAAGCCCGACCCCGATGGGTCCTGATTCACAAGCTGGCAGTGCCCTTCCGCAGAGGACATTACTGTGTGACACACACGGTTAACAACACTTGTCACTCCTGTTAATGGAGCACTGACCATGCGAGCTCGGCACCAGGCCTGGAATGGAGTGTGGGAGCCCAGGGAACATCCCCTGGGGCTGCATCTTGAGGGGTGAGTCTCAGGCAGTCACTGGATACCCCTTTTCCTTGCCCGGTGGCCCAACACCTTCCCAGGGATCCAGACCCTTCTCAGAGTGGGCCTGGAGCCATTGCCACTTCATGGACGATGAGGCTGGGACACATGTGGGAACAACCGGATCAGGTCCCTTGCCACAGAAAAGCCACACGGTTGATAGGGTTGCAAACACCAAACAGACACTAGTTGAAGTCTCCAAACTGGGCCACGGCCTTGAGGAGCTGTCCTCTCCAGCCCCTGCCTCCCCCGCTGGCCAGCGGATGCCAGCTCCTTCACCCTTCAGGACTTAGGTCTGACCCTGGGATTCACAGGCCTCAGGAACATGGGGGCTGATGGCCCCTCAGGCTAGCTAGCCTAGTGGCCAAGGTGAGGGAGACCAGGGAGGGAGGGCCCCAGCCTCCAGCCTCCTTGAACTCATGGAGTCCCATGGGCTCAAAGGCCCGGGTCAGCCCGCTGACTCGTGAATAACGGAGTTGCAATAGCCACAGCGAAAGGATTACTTTTAATCCTCAGTAATGATCAAGCCATTATTATTTTTTCGGTGTTACAGATCAATCAGTCCGTCCCCAGGCACCGGACGTGTGGAAACTGCTAAATCCACAGGCCTGGTGGTGCGGGAGGAAGGGCTGAGGCAGCTGAACGGGGGGGTGGTGGATGGGGCAGGCTGTGGCTGCACGCGGTCCCTCAGGCCTGAGGGTGAGAGGCAAGAGGACGGGAATACACATGGCACGCACGAGGGGCCCCAGGTGGGGATCAGAGCTTGGACCCTGGAGCCTTGGGTTCAGACCCCAGCTTCCCCCTCCAGCTCTCAATTTCCTGCCTATAAATTAGAAGTAGTAACCTTACCCACGCAGAGGGTAGTTAGGTTCTTGGCAGCCCCCTTGCTCCAACTGCCAGTAGCTGTCCATAAAGCCCAGTGCCCTGGTGTTTCACTTGCTGGCTCTAAGCACACAAGCCTTTTGTCCACCTCTGGGCCTTCCTGGCATCCACTCTTTCTGCTTGGGATGTGCTCCCCATCATCTCAGTCAGTGCTATCAGACTGTCACCTCTTCTGGAAGCCTCCTATTGCCCTTGTCCTGTCCATGGGCTCCCCTCCCCTCTGCCAGGCACTCAGACTTGTGCTCCTGTCTTCACAGAGCCCACAACAGTCAGGCCTGCTCGGGGCTGGCTGGGAGACTGCTCACAGCCCTGCCTCTGCCTCTGCCCTGCCCCGAGGTTCATCCTCCTTGCGCTTCCCTCCCACCTCCCCCAAGTCCTCCTGATGGCCTGGGGTAGACAGGATGGGGAAGGACACTGAGATCCAGAAGTAAAGGGAGAACCTACAAAGACTCCTAGCAGGGCAGGGGCAGCAGTGGGAACATGGCTCACTTCATCTCAGGGCTCCTGCCTGCCTGGGGGAGATGTGCTCTGTTCCCATCCCTGACCCTGAATACCTGTTCCCTGGGACCAGCTCCCTGCTCGGGCTCTGGGCTCTGGGCTCTGCTCTCAGAGCCACCTGCAGTCTCTGGCTCTCCTGCTACCAGGCCCCTGCACATTCCGTTCCCTCCTTGTGCACTCCTGCCCAGACTCCTCCAGCCTGTTTCATTCCCTCACCCTTGAGGCGTTAGCTTAGACCCCATTCTCCTCCTAACCACTTCCTGACCCATGGCAGGCTCCCATCTCTCCCCATCATGAACTTAGAGAACCCTCTGCTTTTCCCCTTGAGCTGAGCTTGGTGGGCACTGTATCTGGCACCTATCAAGTTTACAGTAACCTGGCCCCTGGCACGTAGTAGGTACACAATGAACATCTGATAAATCAAAGTCAGAATGTCTCTGAACCTGGGTAAAGGCTTGAGTCTGGACCTGCCTGGTCAGCTGTATGACCCTAGGTGTGTGGTTTAACCTCTCTGAGACTTTTTCTTCATCACATCCTGGAGGGTGAGGGCTGCCTATGAAGGTGATGCTACGGAGTTGCTGATGGTGGCTTGCCTGGCCTGCGATGTCTCCATCACGGCCAAGGCGTTGGAGGGAACTGTGGTGGGACTGCTGAGCAGGGCTGCTCACGGCTAAGTCAATTACGATAACAGCGGGCATTTCAGAGGCAATTATCAGAGAGTTTCACTTAACAATC